CCAAATCGTATGTTCGCCTTAACTTTTCATAGAATCATGTGATCAGGTCTTGGCTATGCACTGATGGAAATCCCTAGGTCATTTCATTCAAACGTTAGTACAAAAACAGCCGTCCGCTTTCTATTTTGTTACGGATAGTAAGCTTAAATCAACAACTTCTGCTCTAGAAAAATATATTTGATATAGTTTTTATTTTGATTGTATCAAATTAAGATTTCTATATGAAATATTTTTAGCTACAGTGGAAACTCCATGTTTCGAATTCGTCGCATTTCGAAGAAATTTTGAAAATCTTGCATTTACACGAAATTGAAAGTGCAAAAATCCTCTTGAATTCAGAAATCTCGCATACCTGATCTAAAACAGGATAAAATGATAAGTGCGATTTTGCAATTTGTAGTTCAGAAACGATGTCCAATACTCAAGTCGTTTCCTGAAAACACGATTGTGATCAAAGATAATTTGACTAGTTTTGAAGGTGATTCACAACATATATTGGCTGGTTCTGTTGTAGTTTTAAGATGTAAAGATCATTACACTTTAAGCAATTTTAATGGAGGTTCCTTATTTGTCAGGTGTCAGTCGAACGGTACATGGACACCTATGCCCATCTGTGTATGTAAGTTAAATGAGATATTAAATATTTCTGTAGTTGCAGTTGCACTTTATTAGATATTGAGCACACGTGTAACTACTCAAGTTTATATCTACCTATTGCTTCTCGAGTCATCCAAATGAATTTTAAATATTCATCAGAAAATCGTCAGTTACTTTTGGTGAGCTGTTCATCTCGTTGTTCCTTGAATACCATAAGACATATACGTATATAAGTATTTATAGGTCGGTTCAAATTTAATTTTTTCATGTGAAGAAGGTTTTCAGCTCACGAATGGTAAAGAATCTCTGGTAGTTGAATGTCTGGCGACCGGACAATGGTCAGAAATGCCAAAATGTGAACGTATGTATATGAGCTGAGTCAGCTTATTCTCGTCGATATATGTATACGCTTGCCTCTTTCAGGCATTTTCTATACAACACCGATGGTTCGATGTAGTTATCCTCCATATATTACAAATGGATTCCTTACATCATACAACGTTACAATTTGGCAAGATCAAACTTATACCGGTTCAGTAACATATGAATGTGATTATGGTTATAAAATATCAACCATAGATCTCGTGACAGAGTGTATTAATGGCATTTGGCAAAATATTCCTAAATGTCACGGTAGGATTTCTATAATCTCAACGATTAACATATTTACACGATTACTTTTCTGACAGACATTCCAATTTGTCCCAAACATGAATTACTGGAAATTGAATCGCAAGTTCAAAACTCTTATGTACACAACGGTAATAATTCTTATGAACTATAATTGCAATGATAGAAGATGAATTTATTCTAGTCTCATTGCAATATATACGAGATCCACAAGAATTTGTCGTCGATTCGTATGTACTTCGGTTTTGTAATCCAAATTATGTTCATGTTCTCTCAGGTCCATCCTTAACAATTAAATGCCGAAAAGATGGAACATGGTCTGGCATACCTTTATGCGAATCTTTAGAAATAACATCGACAATAACTACCATGCTTTCGACATTGATTTCTACTTCTCACACTGTTTCGCCAATCACAACTACTCCAGTGGCATTATTTTCGGTCACTCATTTAAATATGACCACGTCAGAATTGCCTATGACCATTCCAGAAGTTAATAATTCTGCAGTAATTCAGGCTGTAGAACTCACATCAACTATAAATTCTGCATTAGTACAAACATCTACTACTATGTCATCAACCTTTCCTCCAGAGTCATCGGTGAAAAATTGGGATTCTAATGAAAACCTATTATCGACACGACTGATCAATATTATTCAAGAAGACACTATTATCAACATTAATACAACGTCAGAGCTGCCTATGACCACTCCAGAAGCGAATAGTCCTATAGCGATTCCGGCTATAGAACTCTCATCAACTATAAATTCTTCATTAGCACAAACATCTACTACAACATCAACCTTTCCTCCTGAGTCATCGATGAAAAATTGGGATTCTAATGAAAACCTATTATCGACACGACTGATCAATATTATTCAAGAAAACACTGTTATGAACATTAATACCACGTCAGAACTACCTATGATTACTCCAGAAATGACCACTCTCGAAATTATCACTCCAGAAATTACCGCTCTAGAACCTAATAATCCTACAGTAATTCAGGCTGTAGAACTCTCATCAACTATAAATTCTTCATTAGCACAAACATCTACTACAACATCAACCTTTCCTCCTGAGTCGTCGGCGAAAAATTGGGATTCTAGTGAAAACCTATTATCGACACGACTGATCAATATTATTCAAGAAAACACTGTTATGAACATTAATACCACGTCAGAACTACCTACGATTACTCCAGAAATTACCTCCCTAGAACCTAATAATCCTACAGTAATTCAGGCTGTAGAACTCTCATCAACTATAAATTCTGCATTAGTACAAACATCTACTACTATGTCATCAACCTTTCCTCTAGAGTCATCGGTGAAAAATTGGGATTCTAATGAAAACCTATTATCGACACGACTGATCAATATTATTCAAGAAGACACTATTATCAATATTAATACAACGTCAGAACTGCCTGTGACCACTCCAGAAATGACCATTCCAGAAGCTAATAATCCTACAGCAATTCCGGCTGTAGAACTCTCATTAACTATAAATTCTTCATTAGTACAAACATCTACTACAACATCAACCTTTCTTCCCCAGTCATCAGCGGAAAATTGGAATTCTAGTGAAAACCTATTATCATCGACACGGGTGATCAATATTATTCAAGAAGATACTATTATCAACATTAATACAACGTCAGAACTGTCTGTGACTACTCCAAAAATGACCATTCCAGAAGCTAGTAATCTTACAGTAATTCCGGCTGTAGAACTCTCATCAACTATAAATTCTTCATTAGTACAAACATCTACTACAACATCAATCTTTCTTTCTCAGTCATCAGCGAAAAATTGGGATTCTAGTGAAAACCTATTATCATCGACACGGCTTATCAATACCGTTCAAAACGACACTGTTATCAGTGTTAATAGTAATCCATCACCGCCTAATGATTATTTTACAACGGATAGTAATGATCAAACAAACAACATAACGATGGTCAATGATCATGTTATGTGTAAAAAAACTGATCTACCTAATGTACCAAATACAAGAATTTCATTTAATAACAATCAGGACGATCGGTTTTCTATTGGAAGCTTTTTATTTTATGAATGTACTTCTGGTTTGGAATCGGTCGTTAATAGAACACAATCATTCATTACATATTGTTTACCGGATGGTAGCTGGAGTAAAACAAATTTGAATTTATCGATGTGCAGAGATGGTAAAGTATATTTTAAGCTTTGAATATATCAAGGGGGAAAAAGCATACTTCTGTACTTCTGGTACTTCTCCGTACTTCTTGATACTTCTTCGTACTTCTTCGTACTTTTTTGTACTTCTCCGTACTTCTGAAGTACGAAGTACGAAATACGGGATTTCGTATTTCGTACTTCGTACTTCAGAAGTACGGAGAAGTACAAAAAAGTACGAAGAAGTACGAAGAAGTATCAAGAAGTACGGAGAAGTACCAGAAGTACAGAAGTATGCTTTTTCCCCCTTGGAATATATACTGACTTGATAATCAAATGAAGCAAATTTTAAATTATCTAGTTTCATGCTGCTTCTCTCCAATATTTTCATAATTTCTATGAAGTTACTCCCATTCAACAAGTACTTATACCACACTAATAGGCGAAATTTGTCAAATTTTTCGATCTTTCACTAAATAAAAGCAGGATTTTTTCTAATTAAGTTACTTAATAAATTTCTTTTATTGTAGTAGAAAACAATACAGACAAAATTACAGATATGATTATAGATAATGTCGATACGTCTCCTGTAACATCAACAAACATGTCTATTAACAATGGTACAAGTTCGCTAATTGAAGTGTTAACGACAATGCTTTCCAATTCCCCTAGACGCCAGATCCGTGAATCTCAATTGCGCTGCGATTCTTTTCCAAAAGTTGAAGATGCCTTAGTGTTAAGTGACCAAACAACTTTATACAAAGATCAAACATATACTGGCTCAGTTCTTTTTTCATGTCATTATGGATACGCGACGGAGAGCGGTATTAATGCATTTCGAATGACTTGCCAAAATGGTCAATTCCAACCAGTAAAAAAGTGCATTTGTAAGTATTTTATCTGCGTATTTTTCATCGAACAAAATATATTTGTCAATCTCTGCTGCAGTAAAGCCACGTTGTGCATTACCACCACCTATTGATCATGACACTACAATGATCGTAGCATCCAATATCAAAGTATTTAATACTTCTACGAATGAAGCCATTCCCGGATCATTTATCGAATTGAATTGTCTAGCTAATGCTAGTGTATGGAATTCGAGCTCTGGTTCATTGAATATGACTTGTCTTGACACTGGAAAATGGACTCCAAAATCAGTCTGCTATGGTAAGTGATCATATTGCAACTCTAAACAATATCGATAGGAATTCGACTTAAGTATTAATTGTTGTGCTATAGAATCATAATACAAAATAATATTCTTTTTACGTAATCAATTCAGTGATTTTCCCACGAAGTTGTTGTTTTCGGTTACTGTTTGTTTTTTCCTAATTTTCTAGCATCCACCAAACGACGCTGTTACTCAAATGTGGCGATTCCAAACGGAAAAACAACAATACATGGCAAATTACTGTCGGACGGCACATTCGAGAACAATAGTACAGCTAGTTACCAATGCTTAGATAATTTTGTTTATGATGAACGTTCAGGACCGATGAAAATCGAATGTTTAAATGGTAGATGGGGCCCACGACCCCGATGTAAACGTAAGTGAATATAAAAAGCACATATAATTTTTACTTTATGATTTGCTTGTTCTCTTTAGCTGCCGGATGCCTGAACTCTACTGCTGATACCATACCGAATGGGTATAAAAGTGCTGAATCCTATTTCGTTTATAATGGTCAACATTATTATCTACTTTCTCGATATGTTTGTTATAATGACTCTGTTATGACTAATTCGAGCAATGGCGTTGCAGACCTTAAATGTCACGAAAATAAATGGCCTGAACTTCCAGTATGTCATTTGAAAGTCGAAGAAACAACAACTGTCGAGTAGTCATTTCTATGTATATGTATATACATCTTTTAGTGAGAGTTTTATGAACAACCGAAAAATGTATTATTAACTAAAAAAATATACGGTTTAACACGTTGTAAATCAAGAAATACCTAAAGAAAAAGATCGATTTATCTTAATCTGATATAAACTATAATATATTCTAACAATTAATATACCAATTCACATTTCGATCATCCGTTATTAAGAATGTGTGATAATCGGTGCAACTATTTCGTTAAGATAATCTTTTATCACAGTAAAAAGTATTACCGACTTGAACTTTGACCATGACTTGTTCACTTCTGGTAGAATCAGCATGAAACCAATTAATGTTTTTTGAAGATTTATAATTCACTAAAATTTTAATTAACTTTCAACGAAAAGCAGTGTAAATTTAATCGAAAATAATTATAGTAAATGCTTGTCGGATATGATGTTAGAGAGAGTAACTAAAAATTTATAAAGATATCGTCTTTTCCATTTTTTTTATAACACGTCAGTTCACCAATTCGACTTAGTCCCTGTTAGAACATTTAATTCGTTGTTCGCTTGTTTTATTAAAAAAACTTTCAAAACAAAACCTAATAATATGTTTTGTGCCAAAGAGAGTCAAGGTAAATGTGTAAATATCAAAGAAAAAAAGTGAAAACAGTGTAATGTTTTTTTGATTAGAAAAACGTTTTGTTCACAAATAAAAATATTTTGATAACTTGTCAAGTTATCCAGATCACTGAAGTTATCAGTTAAAAAAATTTGTGCTTGTCTCAACTCTAACAGGCAAAAATTGTATGTGTAAAAAAATAGGTATAGAGCAAAACATTTGTTGTTTGTTCATTGAATAATAAATGGTAAGAATGTACGAAATTATTTTGAAAAACAGGATATCATGGCTCGACGATCTTTACCAACACCTATCCATTTGACTAAAAATAGAAAAAGTTGATTGATAAAGAAAGTAAAATATATTTTATAGAGTAATCGAACCTGGTACATTGAGAAATTGTTCGATAAATTGAACATAGAGTCTTGCATTGTGAGGTAACGATTTGAATGCTCGACATTCAGACGTATCTGTTTTCCATCCTGGGAAAGTAACGTACTCAACTAAATGAATGAAAACTTTTCATCTCTGAACAACTATAAAAGATAATAATAAACCTTCGATATCGTGCATAGTATCTACACTCGCCGGAAAACTGTTCAAAATTTCACCATGACGTTTATAAGTCGTAGCTACTTTGATTTCACTTAATTCATCCAATGTGTCTAATTTTGTCAAACATAGTCTATATAGATAAAGTATGGTTAATTTTTGATGAAATATAATAGAATATATTCACATACGCTGTAAAACCATTAATCATATTTGTATAACGAAGTAAAACAAGATCTAACCATCCACAACGTCTTTTTCTTCCTAAACAAGATATTATCAAATATATATTATTTATTTTATTGTAGTTGCATTCATACTAACCTGTTGTAACACCAATTTCATGACCTTTTGTCTGTAAATGCACACCAATATCCTAGCAAAGTAAATAACGAAAAAAACATAGTATTTTTTATTTATGTGACAATATTAAACTGACATTATTTAGCTCCGTAGGAAATATTCCATCACCAACACGAGTTGTATAGGCCTTAACCACACCATATATATCACCGATGAATTTTGGTGCTAAGCCGAGACCCTAAAATAGACAAAAGATCTTTCTGAATAAATTAAAATACAATCAAATTAATTTCACTTACAGTTAATACTCCACCAATACTACAGTTAGATGATGTCACATATGGATAAGTTCCTATTCATAGAAAAAATGTGAAAATGGTATGAAAGGTAACACTTTTTCAACTCTTTTTGTTCAGTACAATGAGTCAAAATCAGCTTAGACAGCGTAAATTACAAACAAAAATTATTTTTCTCACCAAAATCAATATCTAACATCGTAGCATTTGCTCCTTCAACCAGAATTTTCTTGTCACCATCGAGTATAACTCTATTCAAATATGCAATTGTATCTGTGACCATTGGACGAAAATATTCGGCTAATTCCTAAAATGATATTAAAAGACGAATTTTTTGTGATTGGCTGTTATTTATTAATAATAATACGTTACTTTAAACTGTGCAATTGTTTTTTCAATATCACCTTCCAAATCAGGAAATGTCATTTTATAATAATTAAATAAATTTCGTAATCTAAATAAAAAGTTTATGTCAAATCTTTATTCTATATTGTAAAAAAAAGGTTAAATTACTTCTCCGCAAACACATCAAAATCGCCCATTAAATCAATAACTCGTACACCATTTCGGGTTACCTAGAAAATGTGACTAGAGTTAGCCGAATATTAGAAGAAAACTTATCTCTTCTTTACTTTGCTTGAATAAGTTGGTCCTATGCCTTTTTTCGTTGTTCCGAGACTACGTAAAAGAGAAAACGGATATATAGAAAATGAAGGAACATTAGCTAATAAAAAAGAAATCATTCTGATTAATTAAAATTGATCGTACCTACTCTTACCTCTTCCTTTTTCAATCAAACCATCAGTTTGTTTATGAAAATCGAATACTAAAAGAAAGGATCATAGTCCAAATTCAAAACTAAAGACATTTATCTCTGGACACACCAACCTAAATGAGCACGATCAGAAATTAACAAACGTTTTTGCCAGTCAGTAACGCCTTTAGCTTCATTTTTCTTTATTTCATCAACTAATTCGGGTAAATTGACTACACATCCATTACCTAGGTAAACAATTTTTATAATTAATCGCTATCAGGTTTTATATTCAAATAAACAAATTACCAATGATATTAACACAATTGGGCAAATGAAAGCCAGACGGTAACATATGAAAATCATATTCAAGACTGCCACAATGAACCATATGTCCCGCATTATTGCCTCCCTAAACAATTGAATTATTTTCTATTTAATCATTAACACGTGCACAAGAATCTAACATACTTGACATCGGCATACAACATCGGATTCCGATGCGAGTAAATCAACTAATTTTCCTTTACCTTCAAAAGTAATTATAATAAAATTAATACGACATTAGTTTTTTTTAAGCATCATTTTCACAACCTTCATCACCCCATTGAGCGCCCAGCACGATACCCACAAGTGATGGATCTGGATATGGATGAACAGTGCTAGTACGTCTTACTGCTGTGGATACATTCATCGTACAATTAGCTCTAAAATAACAGAATAAAAAATAATTGATGCAGTGGGTGAAATAAAATAAAACACTTCATTCGTGTTTCTCATTCTCCTTCATCAAAACATTTTCTCTCTACAAACATGATTTGAATGCAAAAGAATTTTTTTATATTCATACTGTTCTTTAAAAAAGAAAGGTACAAGTTTAACATTGTCATGTTATTTACTTCTCCTCTCCAACTGGTAAAGATACTATCTTCATTAGCAAATACAGAATAGAACACTTTGTTCTCATAATGTAGATAACAGAATATTTTGATTTTCTGACCAGAGTACGAAGTCTGTGAACCAAGGTTATTTTTTCGTCGACCAAAGATATTATTACTCAATTTAATCTTGCAATAATAATCGCCTTGATCGAAATAACAGAACGATTCTATAAATATTTCTAATAATGTCACGTATTTTCTACTCTGAATAATTTATTTTGTAAGTGAAGAGAAAACAAGAAAGTATCAGAATGTTGTCATGATTAATTTCCCATATTCTTTTGTAGACAAAAATGTTACACATTCTAAGTCATGATGATCAAATGTCTATGACCACTAAACTTCCTGAAGAATCTTAATATAAAGATACGTTATTTGACTCATTGGCATAATGAAGACTGATTCATCATATACAGATTAAACAGAGAAAGATAAAAGACGTTCTTGAATAACTCTTAAAAGTTTATAATAGTAACGCAAAGTTATTAACATCTGAGGACTATGACTTATGAAGCAGAATTAATTGATATATGTGAGAGCTCACCTTCTTACTCAAAGTCTGCCTACTCACTGTCTAGCCCATGATAAAAGACTTCAAATTAAATTGAACTTAAGCAACAAATGATGAATGTCTGTTCCAAGCTATAATATTTTAAACTATTCTGAGTCTATCTTGTCAATGACTATATGGAAAAGGAATAACTTCACACCACCAAATGTTCATTCATTATTCATTTTATTTTCTACTATTGATCTAACAACATGTGTAACAAAATGTTCCAATATGCTTTAACAGTAAGGACAAGAACAAACATCGTCTATGGAAAAATTAGTAACATTTTTCAAAATTTCATATCTCTATTTCCAAATATTATATCAATGTTTTTCAAAAAAATTACATAACTGCTTTTGAGAAAGAGAGAGAATGAACTACATAAGTTCGAATAGTAAGAACAACAATAGAATAAAACTTAACAACATAAATATCAAACGAAAAACTGGATATAGAAAAAGATGCTATCAATGAGTAGAAAAACCACAATACATTTTCAGCTATTGATGTTGTATATGAGTAGTGAAACAAAATGAACTATAAAAAAAATGAATCAACTGACAAAAAATAGTCAGCGACAAAAATGCGTAAACTAGACAAGTAGTGGAAAGCAAGAGAGATTTGTACAAAACAAAAGATAGAATTACAAATACGCATATTTGTGTGGGTATATTTTGTCGATTGTCTTTCACGCAATAAAAAAAACGAATTTTTTATGAAATAAAAAGAAAAGACATAAGTTGATTAACGGTGACTACTAAAATTTTGTCCTCGACGATTCCTTCCTCCAGAAAATGTTTGTCCTTGGTTTTCTGACTGATGATTTATGTTGGTCGCTGCTCCTCGACGATTTCTACTGTCATTTCCTCGTTGACCACGGTATATTCCACCTCCTCTAACCGGACGTTGTTGATGTTGATTTTTGTATGGTGGATCTCCGGACCATGAAAGGTCAGAAAATTGTTCTAGGTGTTGTGATGCACTGAAAGGTCGATTAGAAGAAAATGATGAATAATTTTGTTGTGGTATTGTATTATCAAAACGATTATAATTTGAATTATTCGGCGCACTATAATCATTTGGTGGCATTGTATATGATGATGATGGAACACTAAATGATGAATACGACGAAGACGGAGTGTATGTCGCGTTTGATGCATATGAAGAGGGACCAGTTGATGAACGATAATCGGCATAAGAAAGGACCGGATCTGTATTATATGATGTACCAAATGAATCATGTTGCTGATGATTTGAATAGTTCATCGGGGCTGGTTGGTCAAAAGACTGATTCGATCGTTGGATAGCACTAGAAACAAATTGGAGGAATGAGAATTAGTACTTAAGTGTAACTCGCGGACGAAAAAGATCTTCATTTCAAAATCTTGCCGTTAAGTTTTACTACGCTAAGTTGAACTTACTTTGCAACATGATGGATAAGCTCATTTGTTGGATTTCCAGGATCTCGAATTTGTCGACTAAGGTTCGTTGCTGTTTCTGGTCGATATTGAGCAACCGCTCTTGCTACAGCATGAATAAAATTTGGATCATAATTCTCTGTGGGACCACGAGCAGAGGAAAAATTGGAATATCCACCACTACCACCAAATGACGACGTAGCAGTTCTAGCCTGTGAATAAGTGTCATTTTGGATATCTCGTTGATAGGCTGGACGTGCGGGAAAATTATTATTCCAATTAGGATCACTATTATTCATATTTGTTGGTCTTCCAGAATTCATAGGAAACGGATTTTGCTTTACAAGATGAAAATTCTGATTTCCGAATGGAATATTTCCACCGCGACCTCTCATCCGATGGCCCCTTCCTGCGACAGTACCACCTCTTCTTTGATGTAAATTTGTATTTGTATTGGTGACAGGTGGAGGAAGTTCACTACGACTACGTTTAACGTTACCGTTTACTGCTGCAGAACTTGAACGTTTGGAAGGTTGTTCTAAAATATGACAATAATAATTTTCAAGGAAAAATTACAAACACACATTTGAGATAAGACTTACCAATTTTGTTTCCACCAACTGGTATATTATTGACTAACGTCCGATTAGGATAGAATTTTCTCCAACTAGGAAATTGTCTAACAGCACCCCGTTTGGAAAATTGTACTTGTTGCTGTGGCTGTGGTACATGATTATTTGAATTATTTTTATTATTTTCATTCTCTGTGTTGACACGTGTTACACCTTCAAATGCATCATATGGATAATTATTAAGAAAAATATTTGTATCTTCATTCAGTTGTTGACGTGTTATAAAGCGCCAATTATAACGATTTTTAATATCATGATGAATATCAGCTAGTTCAGTAATACCATTATAACGAAATATGGCTGGTACAAACAAACTATTACCAAAACGCTAAAATATAGAACAAAAGGTAACATTCTCTGGAAAAATAAATCTAGCAAAATTAAGAGCTAAAAATTTGTTTACATGGTGAAATGTGGCGTATTAGGAATTTTTTAGGAACAATTCAATTCAGCTGAACAGATGACTACATAATAAATTTTCAATAAGTAAGAATTTGAAGAAACGTCTACACTTACAACAACTAACTCTTTGTGGTCTTTGTCTTCATATGTTGACTTTTTTGCCAAATGTTCTTTTGTATGTAAATGCTAGAACACAAATCATAACAATTTAAATCTTCAATAAAAACGACTACTACAGGAATATTTACTTTCTCTAATAACCATTGGTCATGAAATAACTGTTCACAATAGGCGCACATAAACCGACCACGATTCAAAAATTCTGTGGGTGCACAGTAGAATCCCAATGTTTGTTTATATTCTTTATATAAATTCGGTCCCAATAAATCTTTGAATGATTTACCCGTCAATAAACTCTAATGAAAGACAAACAATTTTTACAATACAGACACAAAAAAATATAAAAAACTACCGTTTGCATTGTTTTTCTCCATGGTAGGAACGTATTTTCATAATTAGCGAAATTTTGAATATGTTTTGGATCTTCCAAATGCTAAGAAATAAAGACAAACTTCTAAATAACGATTTTTTTTTCTTCTACAAACAATTAAAAATTATTTGCGTACCAACAGAAAATTTGTCTCTGACGTGACACGAACATAGCATATATCACAATAAAACATATTTTTCTTTCGAAAACTTCTTCTAGCTGCAGCTGACATAAATGATTTTAAACGTTGTCGTTCACCATGTGCGTATGTTTCATAAACCAAATAATCGACAACGTGCTATACAGCGTTGAAAAAATCAAGTTTAATTAATTACTGAGAATAGGAAAATTTAGTGAATCTCAAGAATATAAGGGAAGTAATTGCGAACTCGATTATTCAGCGATCCAGCCAGTGCTGTAGATAGATACAGCTGATATATATTTTTTTTTTATGTTAAATATCTGACTGGAAAAGAAAAGTAGAAAAAATACGTGAAAAAAGTAATATTACCTTGCATATGCTTTCATTATTCTGCTGCGCTGTTTCATCAACGGTCATTTCTGGACTCACATGCCATGAGCGCCCTGTGTAGCGCTTGACTGTGTATGGCACGACAGATATAGAATCTGTGTCATCAAATTTCATTTGTGAATTTGTATCATCCTCATTTTCATCGATACCAACAATATCGGTAGTACAAGAGGAGTTAGCATTTACTCCTGATGATGATACTACTGCTGAATTCTGATTATTATTATTATTATTATTACTATTACTATTATTATTATTATGATTGTTAACGGCACTTGATGCCGATTTGACATTTAATTCATCGGTGATATTTTCAGAACTCGTCTGAAGCTGTTGATACTCATTATTCGTACTATTTTCTACAATTAGATGTGTACAAAACTTTTGTATTCTTATTACAAAAATAACGTTAACAGAAGAAACCCAAAACCAAATACAAGTCGTAATATGAATTAATCATCTTCAGAGAAAAAACTCTCACTATTCTTCGTAGAACAACAAATTATTACTGTTAGAAAATTTCTAAAAATGTATTGAAAACTAATCATCCCACTAACCGAGCCACTAACTCATCTTATACACTTTCAAAATAAATCTGAATATATCAGAAAGAAATTTAAACAATAAAAACTATAAATACGTACGATTTTCTTCTTTCCCTTCTTTTTGTTGACCACCAATTCCTAGAAATAATTGTATTTTACAATTATTGAAAAAACTGACGTCTTCAATTAGTAATAGAAACGAATAATATTTACTTTTTCTAAAATAAACACTTATCGGGAATGAAGCTAATTCTGCGGCACGATCAGTAACCAAGTCTTCGAGTAGTTTTGCTCTTATTGGTGCTATTTCTGTTCCGACCATTGAGTATTTTTTATCTTGAAATACCAATGTAACATCCAGGCGACGTTTCATACGATTATTTTGATTATTATTGGCTTTAGTCGATGTTGTATTCTTCATAATATCAGTTTTCGTAGACGTATCATTCGTCGGAGCAGTTGCTTGAATTACATCGTTATTGTTACCGTTTGAAGTATCCATCTTTGACTGATTCATATCTGTCATTATAACGTTGTTGATTATTGTTGAAGATTTTTGATCATTATCATCTTGTTGTTTATACAAGAAATGAAAACGTTCACTTTGATAATCAAACTAAAAGGAAGAAAAAATAATATAGAGATTATAATTCAAAATTAGTGTTCTCTTAAACTCGCTGAATCCCTTGATTGCAAGTGATAGACCACTCTCGGAGTTTTCTTGAGACACTCTAGAGATCCCCAGGCACTGGATATCACTCTGATCCATTGTTTTAGACTGAAACTGATAGAAAATCTAAGAGTTTTCTGAGAACCCCTTGGAGATCATTACAAACTAGAATCTTCTGGATTATATGGAAACTCCTTTCTGTACCATTCTTCACTGAAATCAACAAAACGTTTTTGATGAAAAAATCCTTTTCTTTTTCTCCGCCTTCATATAACGGGCGGACAGACAGGCATTTTTCGTTTGCTAAATCTTAACTTTTGAGTCAAAGAAATACCGTCTTTCTAAAACTAGAAGACATATAATTGAGCCTTATTGTATTATGAGAAATCCGAAGTTTTGGAAATCAAAACAGTGAATCTTATATACTTAAAAAAATGTCTACAGAGCAGAAAAGTATGAAAAATAAGTTATGCTTGTTTTTTCCGAACGTTGCCTTCTAGTTGTGCACTTTTTGCGATAATCTTCTTTAGTTACTTACCCGATTTTGGAATGCAAGATGGAACGCTTTATCATAAATCGATGGTGAATATTTATTTTCGTCACATAGTTTTCGAACAATATCACAATGACTCTGACTTAATAAATGTTTACGATACGCTGATAATGTACCACGTACAATCACACAAGCGCTGCATGTAATTTGCTGACGAATTCTTAAAATACCAACACGCTTTGTCTCTGGATCTTTATAACAAACAACACTGATGTTATCATCATCATTTTGATTTCTAAAGAAATTTGAGTTATTTTAAACATATTCTCGAACTAATTTTAAAAAGGTCTAATACCTGTGACGGCGCATATTAGTCTGTTGTGTTGCCATACGAACTTCTAAAAAATACAAATGAACGACTACTTCTCTCACAATAAGTTCGTCTGAAAAACTACAAAAATTTTAGTTAACTAGAACATCTGTAGGCAAAAGAAGGAACTGAGAGAATATTTAGAAGATCAGCTCATTGTACTGCGGTGCCATGCAAAACGAAGGTGTCATACTTGTTCCTCTTTTCCCATGCATTGTCCCAGAAAATTTCGTCATAAATAGCGCAGATAAAAAGTTAGCCCGTCTTCTATATCTAGAAAAACGAAGCACCAAATTCAGTTGTAATGAAGGACATTCACTTGTCAGGGATAGAAGTAGAACAAGTTTAGTGGATCTGAACATTTCCTACGAACTTATTGATAAATTTTCTAAACGTGTAAAAAATAAAACAGGAACGTTTAGCTAATATAAAGATAACAATGCAGGACATTCCGTTGTGGTGGAGACGCGACAGAAAAACCAGAAAATAAACAAATACATATATACAATAAACAAATTCTTCACCATCTTCACATTAAACATTGGGTCCTCCAGACAACAGCATATTGGGAAAGAATACCCATGGTAAAATATATTTGAGCAAAATTTTGTCTCATCATTTCAACTACAAATTTAGACTACAACGCTTAAAATTGACTTTGATGTGATGGCGCTGAATATCTGAAGGAGATTGGTAGATTTTAGTCGCCAATAGCTAGTTAGTCTAATACATACATGCAGTAAATTTATTCATATGCTTCTTACGTTGATGCAAGGCGGATGTAATGTACTTATATTTCGTACACTTTTTCACGTTTGAAGAAAAAAAAATTCATTGAATGAGAGTTTAAATTTAAACAGGGGCCAAATGAGATTTAGTTTCCTGTTTTCATTTTCATTAGATTTGTTAGAACTATTGGAATAATTACAAAATTTTCTTCATAGAATAGTATTTCGTTAATTTTAATATATCAATAAAAAAATAAAAACAAGAAATTAAATTATATTATGTTAAAAAACATTAAAAAATCAATAACTTAATAAAAAGACATTAATAAGACTTTGATTGCTTCTAACTTTTCGGCAAGTTGATGTTAGATGGTTTGAGGAGCTACAGTTGTTTTATTCGTTTTTTTAAAAGATGATCAGCAACCGTCTTCTGAAACGATAGCTAATAGTTAATGGGATGTCACGAATTTATCTATTCATATGCTATGTTAGTAACTTAAGTATAAATACTCTTTATTAACTACGTCCGCATAGTCTAATAATATCTTAGTTTGTTTTCGACACAATTGATATGTAGAAGAAGAAATTCCTCTACATAGTAGTCTCTAAATTCAGTCTCTTGTTCTTTGGCGAACTTTCTCTTTCATAGAGTCTAATCGAGATGATTCGCTCTGTTTTCATTTTTTTAGCTTGTTTTTTACCTCTTTCTAGATTGTACACAAAACTAAATTTTGATGTTATCAACACGAATCAACGTTCAAACCAAGCCGAGCTTCATACTGGTAATTGGTGGGTTTAAAGTTGTATTTTCAATTAACTTTGTCTAGAAAAATATTCAGAATAGGAAAAATTGAAGTAAACTTTTTTTGATTAAATAAACGATTATTTGATTCTAAACAGTATTCATTAATTAACATTTGTTTTCATTTAGATGAAAATCCTTCTTTATCCTCAGTTGGCTTCCAGTTTTCTTCTACCTACGTAGCGGAAATTATAAACAAGTAAGCATTAGTCATAATAAATGGATTTCTTTGAAAGATATTCTGAAAAGAGACTACAATGGAAGAAAAAGATTGAATAGTAATTTCTGCTGAACTTTTGGGAAGAATTAATATTGTTCCTTTTAGATTCCACAGTACCTATTGTATATTAACAGAACACGATGAGTCTTGGTTTCAATCTATGGTTGTTAATCATAAAAATGACCTCGAATCAAAGTTAGTTTTTTTTACTATAAATTCTTTTCGTCAAAAAAATAGAAAAAGATGTCGACTCTTGATTATATCGGTCTATTTATATATTTATTCTGTTTGTAGGATCACTGTTATTGATTTTTTCAAAGAATCAAATTTATCTAAATCTATTGCATCTTATTTTGCCAATAATATAGTCCAATCAACAGAAAAATGTTTTATTTTAATAGAATCATTACCGTGGCTCTTAACAAATTCAACTTTAGGCGAAGTATGTCGGACATTGTTGGAATATAGTAGTACGTATTAATTGAATTTTTTATGATGATAAATGTTTAAAAAAAATCGAAAATTGTCATTTAGGAGCAAATGTTGTGATGGCTGTGCTGCCATTTGATTGTGTTAATGAAACGATTATGAATAGTTTTAGATCAATAGCAAACATTATCATTCATGTGAAAAGTCTTGAGTCAAATAGTATTATTCAAGCAAAAATTGAACAAAAATCTAAAACAAGTATTGAAACAATAAAAGTGGTAAGATGTTTACTAGATTGTCATCATATTTAGTAAGTAAGTTATTATTCTATTAATGCTGTTTTAGTGTTTAATGTTTACAATTGATAACCATCTAAATGCTATCAATGTACGTGAAGAAAAAATTAGTAATAGAAAACCTAAAACTGTTACGTCTGCTGACACGGTATGCAAGGCACCCACATATTGTATACGCCATTAGCTAGTCTAATTTTTTAGACGGATATTACAACAAATCTGACTTTTAATCTACGTCTTAAAGAAGATGAGGTTCAAGCGAGAAACAATCTTGTTTTACCCTACGTTAAACAACGGTTAGTATAAAATTTTTATTTCTTTATTTTATAACCGCAATATGACGATATTTTTCATCCTATAGAACTCGTGCAACAGACGAAAGTTTTACAATTCATTATGAATACGATAAACAAGATGATATTGATGAAGATGATCCTGATGATGATTTAACACTCTAAAAACTAATTTTTTGTATTTTTGAACTATTCATAGGCTGTTTTTATTATTTTTTTCTAAATAAAATGAAAAAGGTAATTGTTTTTTATTTTCTGAAGTCTACGTTTTAACGTATACACTTACCATAGAATTATCATTTATTCTCTTCAGTTTTTTCAGACACTATTCTCTTAGAATGATAAATTTGCCTCGTAGAACATGCTGCGAAGCTATTCTTTACAGACATGTTTAAATATTTTATCCTCCATTTTCTCAACACTACTCAACAACTGCTCTCAATCGGTTATGGTACTCTGGTGCTAAAAGGAACTGGTATACCTACATCGATGTTAATTCATTCAAAAATAAACATCTTTACTAAATCATGCTATAGCGTTGATTATCTTAATTCTAATGATTTATATACTAAATTTAAGTAAACATTTTTAAAGCATCTATTTTCTGTTTTATAGATTATCAGTAGATTGTAAATGGAAAATAGCGTGCTGCGAACAAATTTAGTAAGATTTGTCCAATGTTTTTAGCACATCAATGTTATCTTGTTTTTTACTTTTCATCTGTAGATTGATGTTGCAACAGAGTTTTTACGTAATCCAAAAATAGCATCGAATTCGATCGAAAACAAACGAGAATTTTTACGTAAAAAAGGTGTGTTCCAAAAGATGTCTCATTCATTTATTATCTACTGCTTTCTTCTTTAGGTCTAACGGATTTCGAAATTAATCATGCATTCAACATTGTACCGCAAGGTTCGTCGGTGTGTACAAATGTTTCTATAAAACTATTAATAGAGACAGAATTGTAAAAATTAAAGTTTTGCTTCAAGTATAGTACGAGCGAGAAGAACTGAGTTATTTATTTATTCTCGGTTATCGGACTTTAGTTCGATACCGAACGAAATGTTAACAAATTTACTAGTAATTATTCTACAAATGGGAGAATGATATCACTATCTCAATTTTCTGTTAATATACAGTGAGAGACTTTATTCTCAGTTTGTATTATTTTATTTTAATTCAGACGATGGCATCAAAAATAATAGAATTGAAGAGTTATCCCAAACACAACAACAGTCATCAGTTTTTCGTAAAATAATAACTGATTTAGCCATATTAGGATTATTAGCAACTGCATTTATAACAATTAAACGTTGGTTTCAATCGGTAGTGTAACTATCAGGCAACTATCATTCATTTCATTATACTCATTCTGTATATTTTCTAGAAGAACAAAAATGAAATTGTCGATGCTTTGTTACCGTTACAAACATCTGTTCGAGATATGTGCTCAAGTATTGCAAAACTCGAACAATCTGTTAATCAACTAACTAAGTCTGTCAATGAAATCAAAGAAAAAAACGTAATAGAGTTTGGTCGATTTTTTATTTAAAAAAAACATATCGAAATGTGATTTGATACTGTTTAGACTGATGCATCATCATGTTCTGTATCAATTAATGAGATGAAACAAGAAATTCAAACATTAAAAGGACTTTTATTAAGTCGTCAGCAATTTCCTTCACCACCACAAATTCAAGCACGCATACCATCGTGGCAGCTAGAGACTGATGTATGCATTACATTATTTAAAAAGAACGGTACTTTGATGTTTTAAATCGTTTAATTTTAGAAATCTAAGTCTGGCACAAGATTTTTAAACAAAAAATCAGATATAACTGACGAAAAAATCAATCAACAAGCACTCAATAGTTTAACATCAACGGAAGATAATGATTTAACACAAACAAATGAGAGTATCATAGTAATAAACAAAAATGAAAATGGAACTAATCCCGATGAAACAATGACAACAGAGAAACCAATAGATGAGCAATTAAATAAAGCATCTGATGTAGACTTTTCCATGAGTTCGTCAAGTGAAAGTTCATGATAATTGAAGTGTCGATTAAATGATTGTTCGAGATGAACTTTTTCGCGTTAATTATATTTTTGATTTAACTTTATTTTGTGATAAATAAACTGATTTTTTTTGGTTCATCTTTCTTTTGTGGAATATAAAGAAATCTTTAATAATTTCTACACACTAATGATGACTCACATAGAGTAGTCATTAGCTGAGGTACTATTAGAATACTTTGATGATTGCACATCTTTTTTTTCAGTGAGTGCTCATTGAAGTTTTTTGGAACAAAAAATTTCCTTTGAATACATTGAAATGGACATTTTGTACCTTTAATACGTTTGAACTCATTAAATCGATTACATTCTGTACATGATCACACGAAATTAAAATTTCTAAATATAAAACCGACGATAAAATAACTTTTGAATAATAGAAACTTTGACACTAGCACAATGTACACAATTTTCCATCTGTCTGTGATTTCCTGATAAATATGCGAGGCTTTTATTCGGCCAGTTAACGATCTCATTTTCAACTCAATGGCTAGGTAACTAGCGACCACGTCTCCATGCTCTTCTCTTATCTATTCTCTTTACATTAATATAATTTATTGTGCACCAGTTTTTCGTTCATCTTCTTTCTTGTTGAGATATATTTAGTCACAAATCACATCTTTATTCTACATATTCCTCGTCTGCTGTAGCTAGTAGTAATGTCAAATGTCATATTTCCTTTCGAATAGTCATTCTTATTTTTATTCTCTGGTCTCTCTAAATGCATATTGTATTTGTAAACGCTTATAATGAATGCTTAGACATTCGCGAGTATTGTAGCAAATCTATATATTTTTTTTCATTGTTTCCGTAAATAAAAAGGCTTAAATTGTAAATGGATATAAAGAACTATAAACGGCTTCGCATGTCTTAACAATACATCTAAAAGTCTTTACTTTTTCTAATGCGCTTTTATAAGCTCAATACCTTCAAATCTCTTAATTTAACTAATGCATTCAAACTTCTTAAAATTTTTCGCTTGTTCGAACGCATGAGAATCATAGCTTTATCAAATGAATACATTCAAATGTCTGAAAAATTAACGCATTCAAGTGCTTAATAGTTTTACTATGCGTATTTGTGTTCAATGTGTTCAAACATTTTAAGAAGGATGTAACACGTTCATATACCTTGGAAAATTAATGTATATGAATACATTAGCGCTTCTCATACATAAAAATAGTGCTCTCATTCTATAGGGCAGCGTTTTTATCTTTTTCTGACAATGTCATTCAACTCTTCTTAAAATAAGTTTGGCCTAGGGTGATTGGTTCTACTAAGTCAGACAGACTATGCAGAAGACCAGAAATTTGACTACGTTTTAAATGCGTAAGAAACACGTTTGAGATTCTTCTTAACACATCCAAAATACTGATGGGTCGGTTTAATTTTAACACACTAAAATGCCTTAAAATTTTTTATATGAGACTAAAATGCATTTTTATGTTGCTAATGCGTTAGATCATTTTAACGCATTAACGTTTTCATAATGTGTTCGAATTTTTTTGTTCACTTATGTTATGTAAAATTTAATGCATGTAAATGGGTTAGAAATTTTTATTGAGCATTAAAGTTTATTAAAACTTAATGCTATTAACGCGTTTAAAAGAAATATTTTTAACAAAAACATTTCAGAGGTAATATTTCCTGTAATGTGAATTCTTTTTTAGCTATTATTCCATCTTCTTGATAAAAAATATATGTTCTAGATAATGCCAGTCGAACAAGCATTAAAGTTTGTGAGGCAGATGCCTCGAATTACTCTAAAGAACTTGCCGATGTTACCCGAAAAAACTGCAAAATGGCAAAAGGAGAACGTGAGGATTTTTGCATTGTGTTTTCTTAACAATTTTATGCATGTTTTCTGTCTTTATTTTAGCCAGATGATTCTAAAATAAAAGCAAATATTGGTAGAAAAGGACCAATTGCACGTGAATCATTACCACCATGGGGTATCGAGCCTACAAATGCCAATGGACGATTACCATGGATTTTACAAATACCAAAAGAACCATATTATGAAGGTGTTGAGTAAGTGCCCTTTGTCTCATTTAGTTTACATTCTGTTATACTACTCTTTGTTTTTTTATGTTTCTAGGGAAGCACGTCAATATTTACCAATGTCATTAAGAACGTTACAACGATTAATCGATCTTCGGCGTATAAATCCTCTGAAACCAATTGATTTACCAGTATTGTGCAATACAAAACTTTTTGCAATTGATCCAGAACAGCGTCAATTTGGTTTACAATTAGTTGATGACGTAAGATCTAGTTAATAATATCGATGAATACTCTTTCGTTATTAACATAAAATGACTATGATTCGATATTATTATTTTTAGGGTGCTGATATATTTGCTACACCAATCAATCTTGAAGTACAATGGGTATCAAGTGAAGTAGCTATAGCTGCTATTGAACGTTGTGGTGGTGTTTTAACAACACGTTATTTTGATCCAATTTCTTTAACATCATTAATTGATGCAAAAAAATTTTTTGAACGTAGTGAACCAATACCACGTTGTGATACACCACCAATAAATGCTATTGAATTTTATACAAATGCAAAAAATCGTGGCTACTTATGTGATCCAGATTTAATACGTGAAGAAAGACATATTTTAGCACAAAAATTTGGATATACAATACCAGATATTTCTAAGACAAATCCATCATTGTACAATATGTTACGTTTGAGAAAAGATCCAAGACAAATCTTTTATGGGCTTGAGCCCGGTTGGGTAATTAATTTAAAAGACAAATCTATTCATAAACCAAAAGACGAGAAATACGAAAAATTTTATCACTCCTAACGTTTTGTTTGTGCTTTTTTTGTTATTTTAAATTTCTCATACAAAATTTTGTAAATGCAAGAGAGAAGAAATGACGTAAAGGATTTGGAAAATCAGTCATAAGCTTGGGAAAAAATAAATACAATACGGTCTCAGTAAGGTCTCCGTGTAGTGGATACCTTTTGAACTTTCTAAAACGATCATTAATACAGAGTTGCCCACTTAAGGGAATCCCCAGAAAAAACTTTTTTGTCTTACATCCGATTTTGACGACGCTTTCAGGAAATATTTACCATATCCCGAGATCTCGAGCTTAAAGTATATTTAAAAAAAATTGTCCCATACTGAGCATGTTCGAATAAAAACGTGTTTTGAGAGAAAACGCTGTGAATTCGTTGGTCTATTTTAGGACATGTAGGAAAATGCTTGTAATTTTTGAACGCATGATCACACAAAGTTGTGCAACGTCTTATTTTGATCAGAAAAATCTGCTCTACAAATCTGCGTGTTCAGAAAAAATTTACTTGCGTAAGTGTCCAGAAGAAAATGATTATCTATATCTAGAGGCCTTGTTTTCAAGGCTTCTAGAAAACTTGCTCGAAAATCACGAAAAAACAGTTCTAGGCCCGAAAGCGATACAGATTCTGTAACTAGACACTTCAGGCTATCTTTCCATGTGTTTATCTCTAAATTGATTTTTTGATACAAAAAGATTTCATTCTGAGGGGGGGGGCCCTTAAGAGAAGTACGTTTCCAGTAAAAAAAGCCATTTTGAAATATCGATAAAATGTTTAGAACAAAGAGATAGCCACTTTAGAAAGGTGTCTGTATTTATTTCATGCGCTATAATATTGTGCTCGATCAAGGGTCAAAATAATCTAGTTTTTTCACATCCCATTTCGAATAATTTATCCATACTAATTTGTGTATTATTTTTTATAAAAAATTCATCTTAGTCCTAAGAAACACAAGAGTCGTCTGCATCTTATTACTAAGAGGAAAAAAAATAACAAGAAATTCTAGAAAAAAACAAATCATGAATGATAGATTTCTAAAAAATATTGTTAGACATATATATAAAAAAAAAAGAAAGAAAAACGAAATAGAGCAAAAAAATATATCTACAACAATCTTACACAAATATAGATATGATTAAACATCATATTTACAAACGTTAGAGTGAAGAAGAAGAAGAAAAAAAAAAATATTTAGTTTTTTTTTTGTATGACACAAAATCACGTTTTAACTCGTTCAAATGTAAACAATATATGGAAATTATTATTCTTACTATAGATAGATAATCAAAAGAACATTTTATTCATGAAGATCAAATTTCTAAAAAAAACTCATACACACATAATACAAATTGTGAAAGAAAGACAAAAAAAATAATAAATGCGTAATGCGTGCCATAAAATTAGAGCAAAAAAAAAAACAATGATAGTGTGTATAGATTAAAACACTAACCGAGAGATGTATTCTTAATCACTATAAACTGTAGAGCCATGCGTATGAAGGTTTGCCACGGTTAAAAATGCAATTAACTATGTATGAGACTGTTTAGAAGAATAAAGAATACAATATGATTTATGCAATGTAAAAGTCGATTTATGTTGCACGATAGATAAAAGCTGAAGATGTTCTATAAACAGGAAATAACTTGTTTTTTTAAAAAAATTCTTTCGTTTTTTTTGCTGTGTCCATATTTCCTATACAATGATTTCGTGCTTGTCTGATTTAAGCGTTACCTCTTAAATCCGGAAATTATTTCTTTTTTGATCTTTGTTGTTATAGGTGTCATTTTTCTAGTTTCAAGATTGTCTAAGTCACGAGGCATATTCTATTACAATCAATTTGAAGGACAAATATTATTATCATCATCAACATAGATGAAAGATGAGTATGCCGTAAGAAACAACACGTCATCGATGCCTCGTTTTTTTTTTCTCTTTAAAAGTTCATCTTGTCAATGTACAGTGGATTTTGCCATTTCTCATAAAAATTTCACCATTGGCTTTCACTCTTCCTACACAGAGGGAAAAGATATGCAGAAAAAAAAAGACTTCCGATAGAATTTTACGCACCAATTAGTCAAATGGATTAATGTGAAATTTTTTATTTTTTATGAAAATAGGAGATAGTAAATTGAATTAATAGAGAAAAAAAAAAAATAGTTTTCCGTTATCTTTTTGTCTTAATTTTTTATAGATGTGCGTGTGTGCCACTCTGACTTTACTCTTGGTCTTGTAACTTATCAAGAGAGTTCTTACTTCGTTCTTGATGATGAACGCAAAATACAAAAACAAAATCATTTTTCTATCCGAAATAAAAGCAAATATTATATTATAAAACGGAAGAACACATAGGTTTTTATTTGAGTTAGAGACATGATATGTTTTATTTATTTTTTACAGTAAAGAAAAAGAATTTAAGCCTAAAGCAAAACCGGTTCTATTGCAATTTATGACTTAGTCAAATAAGACCTATCTTCTTCTTTTGTTTTTCGCTTATACTTCAAATTCATCTGTCCATTCAACATTACCTAATAATTTGTTTACTTTGTTCCATTCTCTTTCTCGTTCATATTCTGGATCGAGATTAAAACGAACTTTTGGTTTTATTACGGTTGATATGGCAGGAGATTGTAGCAAAGCGGACGAAGAACTATTAGACGAAATAATATTTGGCAAAGACGTTTGTTCACTCGACAACAATGTATCTCGTTGTTCGATTGATTTACTTGTTTTCATAATCGAAGGTGGAATAGGTTTAGTATGCGAAATAAAATCGGATGATGAAGATCGTACAGTAGAATGGGATGGTGATGATGTCACTATCGATAGTAGATCATCTTTTTGCATTAAATAATATTTATTCATATCGTCTGTAGTCAATAATTTATCATCTGTATTCCATGTTATCGATGACGATTGTACATCGTCTAATCCACCGTTTAAACGTTGAGATAATTCATATTCATGCATTAAATCTATTTCACCATCGTCAGGACTTTCATCACCATCATCTGAATCAGTTTCTCGTTGTTGTAGTTCATCTTCACCTTCTTCATAAATTGTTTGTGGTGGATGAACCGTAGAGGATTCATTTAAAAAGTCAGATTGTCGTGAAGACGTGTATAATGGACACGGTGGTGACGATACTTTTAAACGTGTTGTTGTACTAGTATTATTTAAGTTTGACGAAATATTTTTCAACAGTTTCTCATTATCAGTTGAATGTATTTGATCATCAGTTGTAATTTCGTCTGAAATATGATGTTTTTGTTGTGGTAAATAACTTCGTAGACGTTCATTCAAATCGGTTGCTAAATATAACATAAACAAATACAATCAGAAAAATGATATGGAAGTGAAGAATAGTCAGTCATCCTCAGGGAAAATAAGCTCTATTTTCACATTTTTGAATTTTAAAGGATTTGATGTTTCAGATTGGTTTACTACCGAGAAAAACAAAGATTCTACTTTGAATAAGTAACCGAGTTTGAATCTGAATATCTCACGTGATACTACAAAATAATTTTGTACGCCTATACATACTTAAATCGACACTAATATTGAGATGATCTGGTTCATTTGTTATAGCTGGAGATGACGGTAATGACGAGTCGTTTGTCATGATCTGTTCTTGATTTAGTTTTTCTTTATTCATAAAATAATTTTTTGTTATACTCATCTGAAGAGAATAGTCTCTGTTTAGTGGTGAACATTGATGATGTTGTTGAACATTATTATTTAATTTTGAATGAGATGCTGATTGAACGTTCGTTGTCGAAATCCTTTCTAATATATCGCTGTTTATACCCAGATGGTTATTGCTCGTTTGTAATGGTCTCATTTTAAATTCGTCACTACTGCTCAGTTCCGTCATTTTACCTAATTGAGTATTCGATTTTAGAGCTGATTTAAGTACAATCGGTTTTTGCAGTTCTTTCAATGCAAATTCCTTTACAGAATAATTATTGATATTTTCCTCTCCTAAATCGTCATCATCATCATCGAGATAATCTTCAGATGTTTCGCTATATTGATCATCGCTATCTTTAATATACGGTCGTCGACTATTATTCGTAGTTATAGAATGATTATTGTGAATTTTATCACCGGTTAATAAATTTGTTTCGAAATGTTTTACTTCAATAACAGGCGATGAACCAACATTAGGAAAACATTGAATCGTTGTCTCAACAGATACATTATCCCAATAGTCATCATCAACTGGTGATGACATAGGCAAGAAATCGTCATCGACAACAACACCTGACGGCTTCATATCATCATAAAATTCTAAACTTGTTGAACTATGTAACGACGATGAAGATTCAGTCAATGGAGTAGTATTATTGGTAATATTTGTTGGTGTTGTTGTTTTTATTACTGTATGACAGTTATTATTGAAGAAATCATTTTTCATATCATATTTTTTACTAAAATCCATTGAACGTGACAATACCTGCGAAATAAATGGTCCATTCGTGGGATAAGAATATTTATTGTTAGTCGGATTTTTTGTGAATGAAGACGGTATGGTACTATCTGATGGATAACACTGATGAATCGGTTCATTTGGTCGTTTAATATTGTGGTTAAATAATGTTGCTGAACGTGGTATGGGAATAGCAGCTGAACTTTTTCCGAGCATTGTTGACGTAAATGGAATAATTTGTGCATTATCAGTATTATTAGTATTATTATTAGTATTTGATTTCGTCTATAAACAGAAAAATCAAGTTTCAGGTGTAATATATCGTCAGATCATGAGCAGAAGAAAGAACCACATGAGTGTGGATGGCATTTTCAGAAAAATGATGGAGTTTCAGTGTACATTGATATAATCATTTATAGCTTAAAATCTATTATATCCAATTAGGATGGAATATACTTCAATATCACAACTATTTGTTGCTGATGAGTTTCAAACAATGAAATTAGTAGAGAAAATGTATTGTTAAAAAATGCCCTTCAACGTAGATTCTTTAAGTTAACAACCTTATCCGAATGATTAGTGAAGATTTTAAATTTTGATTCAATTATTAATGTTATCAAGCTGTAATATGATGAAAAAATTTTTAACAATTTAGAATAAAGGTGGAGAAATTCAGTTTTATTTGCAAAAAAAGTTTTTCAAATACTCGCAGTGTTCCGTTTTGTCCTCTCTATAGTTGACACTTTCTATGAGTTTTTCAGAATGCTCTATATCTGCATGTACCACATCGATGATATTAACAACTTCTAACAACACCTTTCTTTTTTTGAATTATACATTTCTAGAATGTCAAGATTTTTGATATAGAATTATTTTCTTACATTTCACAGTATTTTTTAATAAGAAATGAGCGTGATATTAGTACTCACCGTAAAAAGAAATCTATATCGAGTAATGTTATAAAATAATAATTTTTTTACAAAACAAATTTTTTGCTCTAGTCATCCCTCAAGTGGTTTGTCGAAAAAATTCTTTGTCAAAATCATGCGGATTGTTGATTTTCATAAGAGAGACATGTTGATCATACTCGATGACCATTGATACTCAGCCTACAAAACAGTTTATTAAGAAAACAAAAACTCGTCTGCTAAACATAAAATGCTCACGGTAGACATATCTATTTAAAATCTTTTTCAAAAGAAAGAAGGATCATGCTCGTTTTTTTGACTTTTTGTTTTATAGGTTTCCAATATTTTCTTCTTCAAATTGTTTTTCAAGAAATGATCTTTTGATAGATAAATGAGATAACTATTCTTCAAGCTTAGAGAAAAAAAATACTTACATGAATTTGAAATGATTCTTTGATTGGCATAGATAAATGTGGTTTAGTTAACGAGTTTTGAGTTGTTCCATTATTTAACGTATACGGTCTTCCTATACTGTTGGACAATTGTTTGTCGTTTGTCTGAGAATTTGAACGAGATGCTATTTTATTAGAATTTTCTAAAATGTTCATATCTGAATAACCATTTATAAAATTTTTTGAATTTATTCTATCTATATAACATTCAATATTCGATCGATTGGATTGATCATTATAATCATCTGAATTATTTTCATTATTATTTTTATTATTATAATAATGTGAACGTACATAATCATCGAATTGTTCAATAGTATTCGATATTAAATTATTGCTATAACTATTGTTTATTTGTTGTTGATTTGTGCGATCAATACCTTCAACAGGCGATGTAACGGTAGTTGTCGAAGAAGCACTATCATCAATAAAACGAAAACGTTCAATTTTTTGCATAAAATTACGAGGAAATGATGAACGATTTTTTTTACGATTTTTATTTGGCTGTTTTAAATTAATTAATGACGATTTTTCACTAACATAATGTTGATCATCTGAATATGTAAAATTTGTTGTTGAACTATCAGTAAGTATTGGTGAATCGGGTTTATTTTCAAGAATATCTTCTGATAGAGTTTGTTTTGGTGTATCACTATCAATTGTTTCACAAAATATTGCAGGATGTTTAGCAAAAGAATTTCGTCTTATAGCAGATGATAATGATATTCTACGTCGATTATGACCAATTAATTTTGTTGTTTCTATTTGTGGAACAACAGAATTTAATGAATATTTTCTTGTTGATTTATCATCATTTAATATCGTGAATTTTGTGGCTACATTCGATTGTTGTAATGAATTTCCGTTACATGGACCAACTGAATGTCTTGGATAAGATTTAACAATTGATGTTGTTGGATTTCCATTTTCTCTATCAAAATTCTAGACCAAAAAATAAATAGAAAAACATGTAAAAATATTTAATACAAATACTAAAATAGTCTTGCTACAGACAGTGTTTTGTATAGTTTCCGTTATCACTAATGTTTGACATTGTTCTGTCTTATTTCTCTGTCGATCGACTTATTCCAAATTAATTGACGTTAACCAAGATACATATGAAAATGAGAACATTTTTTCTTTACAATATTATCCTTATATTATTATTTTATTTAACTATAAAGAAAAAAATACGACTTATTTTAGTTCTCCTACCTCATTTGATATTGGAAATAGTTCGTTTTGAAACGTCGATGTTTCCGGTTGTATCGACGTCGTTTCATCATCTCTTTTTTCTACCGGTACGAGTTTATTAAAATCACCATAGTTAGTTGTTATTAATGATGATTGTATAATAATATTTTTATTTTTTCTTGCCGATGATAGAGAAGCGTATTCATCTTCATCATCATCTTCATCATCATCATATGGATGTTCATTAATAGATTTTAATAATTTGGCCTTTTTTATTGGTAATTTTCGTGTTTTATCTAATGAATGTGTTGTTAAACGATCTTTTGCACTGATACAAGGCAAACACAATTTTCGTATAGGCGAAGTCACTTTTGAAGCATGTATTAAAAATGATAATGCTTACAAAATACTTTTTTTGTTTTTTCGTTGATATATACTGACTCTTTTTATTTTTTAAATAAATTTTTAGGACAATACAAAAAAAAAAATGCGTCTATTATTTTCTCTTTTTTTCCACAGTTTAGTAACAGGTATTCTCAACAATATATACATACAAAAACATTATAATTGACTCTTTCTCTATCGCTCTATATCGGCTCCTTTTTACATTAATAGTATAGAAGACTCTTAGTCCCCTCTTTTTTTCTTCATTATTTTTTCCTATATTGTTGTACTACAAGGATAGTAATAGATTATGGGGAAAGAAGAGAGAAGAAAGAAAGAAGAACGAGAATGACACAAGACTTTAGGGCAGAATATGTAAAATAGAGTCTTTCCGTTACATTTATACATAACTCATGCATCATCCATTATATACATTCAATTTATTAACTAAATCACAAAAGTTTTTCCCTAAAAAAATGAAAAAAAAGCATCATCTAGGGGCAGCTGTTAATGTTCAATCTCTCAGACTAGTACTATAATGTATGTAGTTTCAATATTCTCTCTCTCTCTCTCTCTTTTACGTATTGAACTATGTATCTTTATTTTTGCGAAGGATTACTCTTTATACTGCCTATCAAGTCATATGATGAGCCGAAAAAAAAAAAAGAAAAATAATCACTGTGATTCTTCGATTCCAAAAAAAAAAATTCAATGAACAACATTCTTTATTTGTTCTGTTGATGATCAATGTTAGTGCTTTTCGATGAAATTTGAGCAGTGATGCGTTTTTTCTATATCAGTTGAAGATAAAAATACTTCAACTAAGATAAGATAATGTTTTTTGAAACTTAAATCATTCTGTTCAAAATGACTACTTCCATTATTCGACACTATAGGAAGAACCTAATTGATAATACAACGGAAATTTGATTTTTCCTTTGTTTCATGCAAGCACACACCAGCTTTGCCAACCTTAAATTAAGTCTTTTTTTTTTTTTTCTTTCTCCTTTTTCTGCCATTATTACTACTCTATGTGTATATACATTTATAGAAGTAAACGTTCTTTTTACAAATTGAAAATATTACAGAGCAATCAACACCTCAATTAAGTGTACCTAATTGATCTTCAAACTAAAACGATTTCTTTTTTTTTTGCTACACATTCACATAACCAACATATCGCAATGTCGTTGAAAAAAACGAGAGTAATCGTTACAAAAAAAAAATAATATTTCAGATTGTCGTATGTGTAACTGTCTTCGTTCATTCGTTCACCGGAAATTGATTTTCATTTGTCGGCCTTTTTTGCTTTCAATTCCCTTGATATAATTTTTTCATTCATTCATTCACAGAAACACATACAAATGTTCTTGTCATTGAATAAGCAAGCAAAATTAGTCTTATATATGTTTGTTTGTTTGCTTTTCCTATACTAGAATGTCTGTTGTACGATGCCTATACACATGTAGATAAGAAACGGTATGTTTTCTGTCAAACAGAACGGAGATTAATCAATTGTAACAAAAACAATTCAATATGTGCATAATCGACATTAATTTCTTGTCTTATTCACAATGGGGCTTCTTTGAATTATATTGGTTAATAATCAAAACAACAAAAAATAATTTGCAACGTTTTTCTGTCCTGTCAATGACCTTCTTGGCTTCTTCTCTTCTATTGACACAACTTCTCTTGTTCTAATTCGTCTGTCTACACACATGTAAGTGGTTCGGCTCAAATATTAATAACTTGATAGAATGTACTGTTTGCAAGAAACAGATCAATTTTATAAGATTACGTCAAAAACTAAAGTATTCAATTGAAGACCTTGTGATAATATAGGAAGAAAAAATCGTTTCAATTACATTAATAAACCTCACATAATTTGAGAAAATAAATTGAAAAATACAAAATTGGAATGAGCGAGATCATAATTATATATATTTATTTGTAGAAAATAAGTAGCTTTTAGCCTTCTTTTCCATAAAGACGCTGTTGGTTTATAACATTTCTGGACTTTTTTTCTTTCACATGTTTATTCTTGCTCTTTCAATTGTTTCTACGCTTCGAAGATGGAACTGTTCTCATTGCTGTATATAACAATTTATGTCGAAAGAAATAACGACTAGGGTGTGGACGGACAGTGCTCAATCACGTCAGTGAGGTCATAATCCACCTACGAATAGACCAAATATCATTCCCTATATACCAGATGAAGAATTCTCTCTACCTAACATCAATATTAGAAGCAATAACAATAGTTAAAAACTGCACAAATATTATACAAACATTTCAAAATATTCACCATAAATGTCGTGACACTTTAGTTTTCTTGAAAATTTCATGGTAGGAAAAATATATAAAAATTACAAATTATCACCTATCAGCAGGATTTTTCTGATATATCTCTGGAATACAGTAGACTTTGTTCTAGAACATTATAGTATACGAGTAACTACGTCTATTACTTCATTTTTGGTTATTTAACCGTGTTTATTGTCTCCACTACTACACATATCTATGGTCGTAAAGAGAATATTCATTCATAAAGAACGATTTTGAAGCACGATGAACAAGTGTAATGTATTAGCTATCTGTTGACTTGCAATTGTGTACTATTATTACTATTAAATCACAGAGAAAAAAACTAAGGTTATCAAGAAGAAAATCGAGATAAGTAGTCATATTAGTCACGTTTTTTTCCTTTTATTCAAACCGATAAAGTTAACAGCAGACATCCACAGTAAAGATCTTTTTATTTTTTTTGCAATCATTTATTATTACCTACATCATTTACTAATTGAACAGATGGACTATCAACAGCGAATGAGAGAGAGATACGCGTCACAAATTTGTATAATTGTCTATTTGTTTCATATGGACGTCGCTCAGCTGTGTGAAGAAACATAACCTAGCATCAAACAATATGTATATCACTTCGTCTTGCATATTTCTGTCAAATAAGGTAAAAAGAAAATGTAGTAGAAATATTTACTTCTTGTTCTAAATACATAAATAATGTTTCTGACTTAATCAATTGGAAATGTCACATGCATTTCGAACAAACAATAATATTCGGTAAATTTGGGCGTTGATGGTGTATTCTTCACAATCAATCGATAGAGGTCACGAGAATGTGAGGTCAGCAGTATACAACTTACGAAACGCTATATCGGATGGATAACAGTTACAAAATCTGAACACATAATCCTTCACAATTAGTGGTGGCACCACGGGTGGGCTCAGCCCACCCTGAAAAAGTTTTTTTTCTTTTCTGTAGCTTTTCTTGTCTGTACGAAAGTTTAAGAGCGGCGTAGGTAGGGAGAGAAATTAACTTGGTTGAGAAAAATAAACACTACCCTTTTTCCTTTCCGAGTACAGTCGGACTGAGCCCACCCTGGCTACAATTCCTGGTACCGCCCCTATTCACAATCCACCTACTTTCCAGTAGATATCATCAATAATAAACTCTTTTTCAGCCATTAATAAGCACCAGATGGTTGTTCATTAATGTATCTCATCTATACTGTAAAGAACTCTTTGAATCTACAAACTTATTAGAGTTTACCATGTGTCAGACAAAAAAATCTTTAAATGTTTTGTGTGCTGTCTGTATTCCATGTAACTCCTTATGTCGAATTTATACGATCGTGAGCGACGATTTACGACCAAATACGGTCGTATTCCATGCAGACGCAATGTAATCGTCGTAAACAGCCATATATGATTGTAAACGTTTAAAAACGTTTTCTTTACGATCGTTGTATACGACAACGTATTATGTCTGCATGTACACGATGATTTACAACCAAAGTAGTCGTCTACGATCTTATTACTATCACAAACCGATCATAATCAGAGGTACACGACCGCCATTTTTATTGCCCGAAGTAGGCTGGAAACGTGACTGAGACACCTTTTTCGCTATTTTTTTTCTCTTCATTATATCTTTTGTATAAAAAAACATCCGGAGTTCACGATAATCATTTTGTAAAGTGTATTCAACAAAATGACACATCAAAATCTCAAGTTGATTAAGGAGATTTTGCAAAGATATTTAATAATACTCTTGAAACATTTTCTGTTGTTAAACAATGTATGCCTTTTCTGATATAGCCTCTTCACTAAGAATCTTATCGAACTCTAAAATGTGTCATTTTGTTGAATACACTTTACAAAATGACTATCGTGAGCGTCGGATGTTTTGTTGTCCAAAAGATATAAAAACAAGAAAAAAGATAGCGAAAAAAGTATCTTAATCACGTTTTTAGTCAAATTACGTGGAATGACCGACATATGGTTAATCTAAATTTAACACGAATCGTATGTTTGATATTCCATATTCCAAAATAAAACATACGGCTTATAAACAATTTTATCATCATAGAAAGTTGTGCAATACTAACGAATATAAAACACGTACGGAATAGGATATAGATTTTGTTTATCGTTATAAATAGATACTATCAATGTGAGATAATTCAAATTAAAATGTATTTACTACTTTAAGATGCATTTTTAACGTTTGAAAACTATTATTAATGATTTTACTGTAGTGTCATAATCGTAATTAATATAACTAACGGTTACATCTTAAAAGAGATACTTCTTAATTAAGATATATTACCGAAAACTTACACTTACTTTGAGCGTTGCCTCCGATATTGTTTGATCTTACTAAGTCAATTAGGACGAATTTATATCTCTTTTGAGAAGATACGTGACTAACATTATAATATATGGTACTTAGTTTCAGACTCGCTATTCAATAATGTTGAATGTTGTCTCATTTTATTAAATACAATGTGAATAAAATACGAACAGAAAACGGAGATAATGGTAAAACTTTTGATCGTGAATAAAAATCTACGACTTGCCCGGATACCTCGATATAAACTCTCAAAATATTTCATAAAATGATAGTCAAAGAATAAGACATGTGATAATAAGAATAGTGTCAAATTATATAATTCTATAAATCTCCTAGAACTAGAAAAACTACATTCTAACTGACTCTTGGTTAGGGAGACATTTGGCAAAGATTAGTTAGTTTCTCAATCAATTGAATTCTGTGAATGTATGATTGCGAACAGAATATATAATAGTGTAAATTTTATCACTAGGTGTGTACATCCTGAAAGAAATATCCATTGTATGATATTCAATCAAAAGCTTACTTATTAGTTTTCTAACACATAAACACACGTTTTGATTTGATTAACGCACAACTGACAAGTTATTGAACGTAACAGTGTATATTTTTTAAACTTTTATATAAAAATAAATTTATGCATGTCAATTATATCAATCTTTTTGTCCGGTTTTATTTTTTCCTTTATAAAATACTAATATAATGGGAAAGATAAGTTTACTTTATAGAAGTATAAAGACACTTGTCGAAAGTGTAAAAGTAATTATAAATAAAGAAAACGTAATGATTGTTTATAGTTTGGTAGAACTGACACAATCATATTAATATAATAAGACAATCAAACACTTACGTTGTTTTCAATGATAATACAAGATTTTTGTTGTGATGTGTTATTATTAGCAATGAATTTTGAATCAGCTTGGGCTGTTGTTGTTGTTGTTGTTGTTGTTTCTGTAATATTATTATTTTTTGATAATTTAGATGAAACAGATAAATGTTTTTTAATAACAGTCGATGATGGTGATGGTGTAAGAGATTTGGTTTCTAAGAATAAATGATTTGTTGACTCATGAAAAACATCGTCTAATTCCAAATCTTTTTGTCGCATCGACGACAAAACAATAGCTGTATCACAAATTATCGAAGACGATGCTGTTGTTGATGTTGCATAAGATGTTAATGATGGTTTTAATGTTGTTTTTACGGTAGATGGAATTATAGATGGTGGTGTAATAAGAGATGAACAATTTAGTTGATCATCAATACGAATGCTTGGATGACTATATTTTCGTATATAATACTAAAATTAAAAAACAAAACAAATACTATTTCTTTTTTTAATCATCATGCTGACCACTAAATATCACACATATATGTAAAAATTCTAAATTAAACCCATACCATTAGAATTTCTTATTAAATTTGTAAGAAATTGTTTTACTACGCTGTTTTTCTCATTAATAGTTTATAGAATGAATGGCTATATGTGTATGTAATGCTCATCAAACATGATTTCATCAAGAAAAAATGTATTGAAAATAATAGAAATGTATATTTAAAATAGTGTTTTCTAATAAAAAAAAACAGAGAATTTTCAGTTCATTGTTTTATCAATTGTTAAAATATAAAAATCAATCTTTTTCAATCTATTTAATATCATGTAAATGTTTATTTGTGAGGTGTATTATTTATTTTGAAAAAGAAAAGAAAAGAAGATGAATATAATGATAATCCGTCAATAGTATAGTTATCTGATACAACTAAATTTTGTTTTTATTTATAGTACATACATCTATCGGTCTATCTATCTATTTTATCAATCAAACTCATTTATACTCACTCAACGAACATATTAATAATGGCAAACTGGAGTCTTACGGATTTTTTTCTTAGTTGTTGATGCCTCATTGCACAACATCTTTAAACTAATTTCTATTTTCGATTATAACATCAACACCATCGTCATTTTTTCTCGCTCTCCTTTTCTTTCTTCTATTTTTAACGGATAAATGGACAACACACCATTTTTTATTTTTTTATTTCTTTTTTATAATGCCTGAATAACAATATACTTATGCCTCAGAAATTATTTAATATATCACTCATGTTAATGTGTAGATATTTTTTAATACTATAAAAGAGAAAAAAATAAAAATAAATCGACTGATGTTACATCGGTTCATGTTGTACAATATATATATTATTAGACTACACCTAATTAGAAAAAAAAGTTCGTTTCTATTTTCTCATTATTTAAAGACTTTATAGTCTATATTTTCTATATTAAAATCAGACTACTTGCCTATATTGCCGAAAGACATGAGAAACGAAGCGATTCGGAAAATTTTGGATTAGAAGAGTATTATTATAATTATATAAAGAAACGATAAGAAAAAAAAAAAGAAGAAATAGAGAACTAAGCCACACGGCATAGAAGTATACATAAGACATTGGTTTTATCATCTCAGAATAGAAACAAAACAAAAAACTTCTTTTCAGTCGGTTTTTTTTTTTCTTCAGTAAAGACAATCAATTCTTACCTTAAGAAAAACTACACTCTAAAAAATAAAAAAGGTATTCTTCAGTTTTTCGATAAATTAAAAAATCAATGGAAATTTTGTTCATCATTTATCCTAAATAGAGAGAACTTGAATTCTATTTTTCAATTTTTTTTGAAAAATTGATTTTTATCATTCTTTGAAAATTTAAAAAAATGCACATTTCAAGTTCTTAAGAGTTGACGAACAGAATTTGAGTTCTCTCTATTTAGTACAAATGACGAACAAAATTCTAATTGATTTTTCAGTTCATTGAAAAACTGAAGAACACCTTTTTCCATTTTTTAGAGTGTATAAAATGGTTAAAAAGGAAAGCAAATCTTTTTTTTTTTTTTATATTAAACAAAACCCATCATATACGCTGTTCTTCTATGGTAATAATAATTATTAACGCAATATTCTAAAATTCAACATATATCTAAACTATTCTATCACAACTTTCTAACAATAAAGTAGTGCTAGAATTGAAGAGATAATCATAGATTGATTTAATCATGACAACAAGACAGAGTGAAAATTCTAATGTTAATCAAAACTATTTAAAAAAAAAATGTAACGAATAGTAAAGGAAAAAAAAGATCTACTTTTCCATTTAGAATTCAAATACTTCAGAAGTAATAGCAGTCACGCAACAAGCTTTTATCGACAGAAGAGAAGAAAAATACTTAGAAAACAATAATATTTTCCTCTAGATAGAACTTTGCTTAGAAATTTCTCTCTTATAGTATAAATGATATATATATGAAAACTGATTTTGACGTAAAAAATATTGATTAATTCAATTAAAAAATGAATATATTTGCCGATAAATAGATGAGACAAATCAAAGAGCATTTACCAACAAAATTTTTAATTGAACATATTTTATTTCCTGTACAAAATTATTGTCCTAGTCGGATGACACTTTAGTTAATTGTTCGATGACCTTGGTAATTTAAGAGTCACGCCATGTGCATAAGTGTACAATAACACTTATAACTCGCTTCAACGACGAAATACCTCTTAGTAATTAAATGTGTCTTACACAGCATCCATGTCTTCATAATATTTATTGTGTGATAAAATCTATATTGTTGTCCTTACTAGTTCGCCAAAGCTATCATGAGTTGTTATTACATAAACACTCTATATTTCCCAGGATGAAAATTATGACAACTGATTTTATATATGTATACAAAAAAAAGAAAATTATTTTTCTTTTTTTTCATATAGAAATGCCAAGAATAAGAGGATGATGGACAGGGTAACACTAACTATGAAATAACTCTTTACTACCAAAAACAGTCGACTCTTTTATAGTAGTAGCACTTGTTATTTCAACAACTTTTTTAAGTTCAATTTCGTACAGAGAAAATGAAACATCATAGGGGTTTTATTCAATATTCAAAAATTTGATAGATAATTTTGTGCATTAGCTAACCTCACAAGTCACAAAAGAGAGAAGACAAATGACCTGTTGGAAAGCTGCGTAACATCTGTCAATGAACAATTATTGTTGATGAACTAACCAGACAAAGCTAAAAACAATGATAACAACGAAGAAAAGAAGCTGGTTTCTCATCTATTATGATAATAGTGGAAGTAGTTATATAATGAGATGAAGCAATTAATATGTGGAATGAGCCAAAGTTACAATATACATATAGAATAATCAAATACTTCTACATATAATAACAGCAGTATGTTTTCTTTCGAGTTTATAGTCAAACATTATCTGATAAGTGACAATAATAAAAAACAAGACAAAGAGAATATTCTCTTGGTACTTTATTTCCAGAAAAGAAAGAGAAAAACATTTAGTAAGAGAGTAGAGAAAAATTAAATATTGAACGTTAACCTATTTCAATAAACTAAGATTCTCAGAAGATGTATAATTTAATATAAATAAAAGATTTTATCTGAAAAAAGATACTTTTCAATAATCAGCACAAAACCATCAAAACAAAAATTAACACAAAGAATCAAAACAAAACAACACTGACCTACTTGCATGCATTTTTGTGCGTGTAATATTCAAATTTTTTCTATTATTTTTCAAAAACTATAGCTAAGTTTCGATACTGAATTTTTTTATGATAGTAGTTTTCTGTAAAAATATTTTAAGTTAAGTTTTCCCAAATTCACTAAGGAAAACTCGCTATATTTTCTCACAAATATGGAACTTAGGTCCTAGCTGTCGACTGAGTCTCTCCTACCAGTGGTCGTTTGTACGAAGGAGATATGGAAACTTTTGTGGCACTAAGTCAGTGCAGTTTAGAAAGAAAGTTTCAAGAAATTCTGAAGGTCAGTTTTCAAAGGAACCGACTCTCAAGTTCGAAACATTTGGAAGCTGGACCTTCTTCTGGAGTCTAAAACTTAAAAAGCTAAAACAGTAAAAGGCTAATTCTTTTGCAGCTGGAAAGAAGAAGGTTTACGCTACACTTTGGCTATAGAATACTTGACATTTAAATAATTTTTGATCGACTTGTAGCCAGCGATGTACCCAGGATTCCAGTAAGGGACGGGTCAAACTTATTTTTTTGGTCAAAGAAAAAAATTCTTGTGTAACATTTTTATTTTTGATTTCAGTCAAAGTATTTTTTTCTACTTTCAATTAAAGAAAACAAAATTTCTAAGGGATGGGTCATGACCCACTTTTGACCTAGTGCTGGGTACGTCGCTGCTTGTAGCTATCGGAAAAGTGCCACTTTTTCCCATTTTCGTTTGTCCTCGATCTGGGGTGTATAACCTTGAAAATTTATGAGTACAACTTTTTGTGGTCTATTGAATGGATAATTTGAAAAAATTTTAAAACATATAGTAAAACGAAAAATCGAGCTTTCGTGAGTTCTCTAATGGAAAACGAACAACTTTTAAGAACCATGGGTCTCAAAAGCAGCGTTCTTTATTTTCGAAAAAAAAAACATAAAAATATTGGTAACTCGACGTGTTCTACAAGACAGACATAGTTAAATGTTGCCAACTTGAAGTTGTATACAAAGCGGGAGGACCAGGATGGAAACACCCACTTACTAATTTTTCTTGTTGTTGTTCTTTATGATGAATACTTAAGTGTAAATGCGCAACGTGTTTAATAGTACTACTTAATTATAAAAAATAAGTGAGAGACGACGACGCATACCACAATTATATGGTATAAAACAGATCTATAAATCATTATTTATAATGATCATATATCTGACTAGAGAGCGCAACTAGATCTATAGAATAGAACTAAAAGATTTTTATCAAAAGAAAAGAGAAGAGAGATTATCTTGACAGAAACAACAAGCCTAGAATAGGCGGTAGAGTCTCATTAACGATTATAGAGAGGAAAAAGAGAAAGGAAAACAACAATGAGACAAGTCACGCTCCATATGGATAGAGATAAATAATATAAAGTTATCTATTACTAATATAAACTACTACTATAATATAAACTGATCGTAGAGAGTTGTACTTACAAGAGAGAGAAAAAAAAATACACTAACCAGATCTAGATAGAAAGAGATATAAACAGAGGGATTTAGATATGAAATTTTCCTAAAAAAAGATTGTTTCTGTTCTATTCACTTGAGAATTTACTTAATTTTCATCTTCTATCTAACTATTTCTGTTCCTAGTAGTTTTTTAAACTCTTTGCATAACAATATATAAGAAAATATCATAGAATTACATAATTATCAACAAAAAAAACTTAACTCTCATTTTTACTATGTAAGGTATTTGAATATAAGAGAAACGATACGATACCTTCTTATATTATAAGAATACTCATATTTTCTTGTGTTTTTCATCCAAGTAATTTTAAATGTTTTTCTGTGCTATTTTCTTATTCTATATAGATGAGTAGTAGTACTTTTATATCTTCTTCTCGCTTTGGGCTATCAATTTTTCCTTCGCTCTTATTATAGTAGTAGTGACAATTAACGTGTAAAACCAGCTGAGTTTGAATGAAGAAGTCGTTTTTAAAATAAAAAAATCATTTTATAATCATTTTATCATCACTATAACTATATAAACAGTATAAAAAAAAAAACGCTTAATAGTCAGAAAAGAACATGTACCATAAGTATCATAAAGAAAATCACAACCACAATGTTCCTTCTTATGGCATCAACCGATTTACATTATTTCTTCTTTTACAACATATATCTACGATAAATAAGGAAATCGTTAAACATTAAAAGAAAAAAAGAATAGAGGAGGAAAACGGAAGGATGGTAAATTGAATGTATATGTCTCTTCAATAAAACAAATATATTTTTACGGCGAGTTTTCACATTTCACATAACTTTTCTTTTCGTGCATCAATGCTGTTTTAAATTGGCATATTTTTAACCAAAGGAATTCTGCTTTTTTATTTTGTCGTTGTTTATTAGAAATGAGTAGATAATTTATATTCTCAAAATCAGTTCAGTTATACGTAATGATAAAGACAAATCGAACACATATTTTCTGAGATATCTCTTACGAAATTATACATTATATATGATTGGACAATATTTTAAAACATCTATTTGATCATTAAATTCATTATGGTGATGGAAATTAAACAGTTCTATTTCTTGTTGATTTCTAAATAAAAAAAAAAAAAATTTTTTTTTTGAACTTACTCCAACGCTATTGTGCCGTGAACTTGTATCACTGTAAACTGATGTTCTTTGTGGAATTTCAACTGATTTTGGTTCTTGTTCACGACAAAAATTTCTAAAGAAAAAACAGAATAACTAAGCAATAAGATTCTCGAATTCAATTGAAGAAAAAGGTAATATAAATGTTATGGAGAAAGTACAAAATGAACTTTAAATTTTGCTATATAAAATTGAATAAAAACAATTTTTTAACTTCTATACCTTGAAGTTGTAAATCAACTCTTTGTAGTTTAATATAATCTCTTTTTATTCAGTATTGTTTCTTACACAAATATTTATTGAGAGCATCTAGATCAGTATCGAAGTTGAAACAATTAACTTTTTAATTTAAAAATTTTCGATTTCTTATATTACTTGATAAGTGAAATATTTTTATTTTATTCACTCTCACTATCTATCTCGCCCACATCCATTATGAGAGAAGTTCAAACGTTCATTCAGTACTTTTATTGATGAATTAGAGAATCTACTAATTCGCTAGTGATTCTGTAGATTCTAATTCTGTACTTACTCCATAACATATATACAACTAAACGAAATCACCATTAGAATATTCAATGTTTTTTTTATATAAAAATTATTATGCAGGGATTATAAAACAATTTTCTTTCTTTATGTCTTCTTTATTAGTCAATGAACTAAACAATAGTTTATGTGGCATCAGCTTAATATATATTCTTTGTCAAATTCTCAGATTGATAATATATTTAAAAATATCCATAATAAAATAGATGACATATTTGATTTAGTTAATTAAACTATGGTAAAGAACTTTTGATCTTTCTTTCTATATAGTACATCTAGTATATGTGATAATATAAATCAAACATAATTATTATCAAAATAAAAATAAATATTCATTGCACCATTAAAATTTGAATTTTTTTCTCTTTTACATAAAAGCTTTTTAACCTAATGATTTTAGACTATAGAATAGAGAGTGTTACGTTACAAGAATTATTCTTCACACATGTTATTAAGATATAAAAACAAATTCAGTAAATTGACATGATTATTAATGATTTCATCATGTATAAACAGAGAAACACGTCAGAAAAACAAACAATAGCAACACGTCTATAGTTAACCCTTTATCCTCCATAGAAGTTCCAAAAGAACTACCATCAGAATAGAGCACTGATCTGCTCAATATACTAATAGTATGATCAGATCGAGCGGGTGCATTCACCTTTGTAGATAGTGATTTGGTCACTTCAGTGACTATTGGGATAGGAGAGGGGGGGGGGCGGAATAACTTGAAAAATCCAATTTTTTTTCTTACAAACAGCCTAGTAGTTTCATAAACATGCAATCTGTTTTCTTTATTTGAATGGTATAAGCAGTGAGAAGTTAAATTCACGGTAAAATTTTATTTTTCTAAGAAAAAAGTCTATGTTTTTTGATGTATTTGTTAAAAATTATTTTTCGATTTTCTCTCTTCACCCTCCCTCCAACGGTCACTCCAGTGGCCATACTCTTTTTCACGATCTCCTCCATACCTATTTCTTGTGAAATTTTTGCCATCATTTAACTTTAATTGATTTACTACAAATAATACCTTGAAAGGTTTTGCATTTGATGCTTCATTTAGTTTCTGGAACATTTCTACATGAAGGATAAAGGATTAAAATGAAATTAATTAATAATCATAGAAAAGTTTAGATTGATAATAATGATATAGAAATAAAAAATGAATACAATGAACAATATTTGACTTCATATTAAATTCGAAAAGCAAATTCATGAAGGATTTTAAAAATAGAATTAAATATAGAAACCAATGTGGATACAGTATTCATTTTATTTTTGTATTTCTGTATTTTGCCTCTTTGATAATCTGAAAACAACTTTGTTTTTATTTTAAAAGTGTTAAACACTTGTGTGATGATGGTATTTTTTTTTTAATCTATCAAACTTTTATTAGTCTATATTAGTAAAAGAAACAAAAAGAAAAATATATATATATATATCTACTTACACACAAACACAAATATGCGAGAGTTGTTTTTTACAGGTTTCCATAATACGTTAATTTAATAAACTAATAAAGAACAATCAGTGGTTATTTACTTACTGTAAATATAGGCGTATATGCATGTCAACAATATATATATATATGAATTTTATTTAGATCTTATAAAAAAACATAAAAGTTTTTTTTATCAATACTAATTATAGGGGAAAAGAAAATGATCATGCAATTACATCGGATATCATAAAACGATAACTATACGTTGTTATTATAGATAAGCAAAAAAATATTAATAAAAAATGATGAACAATGTGATCATGATCGTTAATCTTACCTTTCTTTTAATGTTACTATGTTATAGAGCTATTTAGTCGCGACTTAGAATAAAATATATTTATGATATTCATATGTTTATGAGAAACATGAAAACATTAAATAAAGTAATCATTTATCCACTTCATACTGTTTTAGATTGTTTTAACTCATGCAATCATTTTCAACAACAACAAAAAAAAATTAAATTAATATTTAATTTATTCAATAATAACAAAAAGCATTTTACATTAAGGAAATAGTATTTTACAATTAAGATACTCTCTCTCTCTTTTTTAAGAAGCATCCCTACTCGTTCTGTTTTTTACCAGATTGTAGAGGACATTTCGAAGTATATGTTTGAAAGATTTTTTCGCTTTACAGAGTTAAAGTTTTTAATAAAAAAAGTTTTAATGTTTTTTTGAAGCTTTTTACTTCATTTTTAAAATGTCATTAGAAACTTCAGTTATAGATATGAAGAGTTGATTCTAACGTAGTTCGATAGAGGACTTTAAATTGTATAAGGAAGAAAACTTAACATAATTATCTGATGGAGTTTTGACGTAGAAACCCAGATCGCGCAAAACGGATAACCGTTACGGACCGTCTACTGGACCCAGGAATACGGACCGTAACATCATTTAAATAGGGCCGTATACGGCCGTATTTTCACAGTATACGACCCCGTATTCCTGTGCCCAGAAACGGTACCGTTTACGGGCCGTATATTGTGAAAATACGGCCGTATACGGCCCTATTTAAATGATGTTACGGTCCGTATTCCTGCGTCCAGTAGACCGTCCGTATATGGACCGTATCGTTCGACCTGGGTAATTTAACTTTTACCTTCCAAATTGGATTTCAGAGCTAAGCGTATTTTAAAGAAAGCCTTGCGACTAGTTTTACTTGAATCAAGCATTTTAGACCAAAACTCTGAGTACAAAAGTTGTTCAAAATCGACTTTCGGAGTCTCGCACGAGAAATTCTTTCAAATTTGTTTTTTGTAAATTTTTAAAATAAATTTTACTTTTTTTTCACATTTTCAAATTTTGCGTCTTTCAATTTTGAATCCGAGGAAAATGTTTTTCTAAAAAAGCTCTCGCGAGAGACTCCGGAATTCAACTTTTGTGTTCAGAGTTTCCATCCAAAATGCTTGGTTCGGACGAAACGAGCCGTACGCTGCAGGGTGAAAATCTCCTCTTCGCTAAAAACCAGCGATATTTTCAAGTTTTGAATTTTTTCTCAAACTCTTCCAGTTTTTAGAAGATTGTAGAAGAAAATCTTCCCATATCTGGAAATTTGAAATTGCCTTTGACTAGAATCAAACACCCAAAGTCTGTAAATAGGTGTGAAAAAATTCATGTGCTCATAAAGCCCGAGCAATTCTTTGGTCGGGAAAGAAATGAGACTTACTGAACAGCCCAAAATGAATTCTAAAACTTCTAAGGTCATCTATCTTGTAGCCCATGAAATCAGATGAGATATTGCTTGAAATTTTTTGTTGAGTTGTTATTTTGCAACTGAGACTTTAAAATGGTACCATAGGCTAAATTCACGTTAATTAGTCAATAACAGGAAGGAAAGAACAAAATTTTTACATATTTCCTCGTAGTAAATATTCTCCATACATCTCTCTGTCGATGTAGGCAAGTATCAAGGTTTTTGTTGAATCGAGCACGGACACGAAATTTTTTAATAATAGTCCCGCGCTCAAAAATTTAACCGTGTTTTCAGTAATTAACTTTTTTCTCAGCTAAATAATGTCAGTAAGAAAAAAAACTTCAGAACATCTACTTTGAAGTACTCCCTACAAATAGAGAGAGTTTAAGGAAAATTTACATGGATCCCTCCTCCTTCAAGTCATTCGCGTTCCGATCAATTTTTAAATGTGACAAAACATCTGTTTTTCTAAGAAAACGAGACTGATAAAATAGAACATTTGACATGTGATAATTAAAACTGAACTCGACTAGACATCGTAAAATAACAGACTTGTATGGTAGTAACAATAATTCATTTTTTTCCATTATTCAGTTGTAGGACCTCTGTCACTTTTGTCGCTATAATCTCAATTAATAGAAAAATTTTAAGTTATAATGAACTTTTGATCAGTGGGAAAGAAAGCTTCAAAAGATTTAGTTTGACTTTAATTTCAAATATCAGTTATTTAAAAACAATGAATTTAACAGGAAACAGTTTTTCTCGAGCATGTTGTTTTTTTTGCTTTTTTTTTTATAGAGTATACATCACGCAAGAAAATGTGAACGCTATTATCGAATTTTCTAATTAGACGATATAAACGACTTAAATCGTTTATTTTATACAAATTTTACACAAAAAAAAGATATAACTTACTTTAATTTGAATATGGTTATTACAATAATAAATACACCAATGACGATGATAACAGTTATAATAGCACGAGTTTGAGTACGAGTTAAGACTAAAAGAGAAACGAAAATATACATCAGAGAGACAATACACTTGAAATTAAAGCTCATGATATCAGTGATTCAATAGACAATCTGTATGCACGCACGCATACAAATAAGAGAAATTTTTCTTTTTTTAAACGTAAAAAACACAAAATGCATAAGGAACCTATGATTGCTAATGGTTAAATCATCTGAGAAGAAAGAGTACTCTAGTGAAGTTTTTCTTTCTCGTCAGTCATGAAAAACGCCTGAGATACTCATATGAAATACTTACATGACTACGAATCCCACACGTATAGAGACAAATCTTAACATCTGCGTATCTTATACGCCTAAAAAAATGTATTTTTTACTGTGATAAGAATATACAGCCATCGGAATAAGTGTGTAAGAAAATATAATTTTACACAAAAAAATTTTTAATCCTTAAAGAAATTCTGAAATAGAATTTATATTTTTCTAAATTTGAAAATATATCTTATAATAGAGTAGTTGAAATGTTTATTCATTTATTATACACTAGATTATAGTCTCAGAATCATAGATATATCACAACCTTGTATATCTTACCTGGATCTTTTTCATGACGAATATGTGCAAAAGGTATATTTGGATCATTATCAAAAATATTGTGTTGATAAAGTGTTTTGTTATTTGTTATATTTACATTTGGTAACACATCCAAATCGTTGATATCATTATAAAAAATTAAATTTTCATCAGTAAATCTTTTATGAATTATTTTATGTTTTTTATATCTGTTTACGTTATGATTATATTTTTCACGATGAATTTTATTTCGTAATTCGACATATAAAGGATAATATTCTGATGATCGTCGTAATTTTGATGATAATATCATAGTATTAGTAGACAAAGTTTTACAATTAATTTTATTACTAGATAAAAAAATGAATGCAAATATTAATAAAATAGAGATAACAATTAACATTTTCTTCTTTTATAATCATGGTAGTAATATGTATATTTTGTTTGTCATCAACTAGAATATTCTAAAAATAGAAAAATAATAGAAAAAAGATTTAAGTTTCTAATTAGATTTTGAATAATAATATTCATAAGAATAATATTCAAAGAATTGCAAAGGTAGATATACATATGATAGGAAAAAAGATATATAGGGCAGTGGTTTAATTACATACTTGGAAATTAAATGTGCCTGTTTATACTTGACAAAAAATATTTAGTATCTTCTAATTAAATCAATTCTATGAAAGGAAATCGTATGATAAAATAGAGAAGAAAAAAATAATAATAATAAAGAGAGAAAAAAATAAAACAATGTTGATCGACCTCTATAGTTCTTCTTTATAGTAGCAGCGATCAATATTATTGAATATTGCACTATAAATAATTTATTTAAAATTTAATTATTGATTCATTTACGCGTGAATATCACATCGAATGAAAGTTAAAAGATTGTTAAGTGAATTGACAAATAATTTACTGTTAAACTAAGTGTTGTCTAGAAGCGATTTTTATACGAACAATTAACATCATCCCATTATGTTAAAAAATATCGTTTTTGTCTCTAACTTAGACTGAACAAATTAGTTGAAGTTCTTCTCATTGTTTAATAGAATTAACTCATTAATGATCTAATTTCATGTTGTTAATAATGATATCTTATACTTCTGAAATTTATCGCATTTGTAATATTTCTTCTTAGTTTTTTTTTTTTTCTTTTTTTTTAAACTTTAATTCTCATCTCTCCAGTCTAATGGCGACTAAAATCGGGTCACCCCATTGCATCTGTGCTCAAAGGTACCGAGATACCGAGCATTCGATAGCTTGCNAAATAATTAAAACATTAATTATATAATTTTATTTTTTTAAAAATTTTATTTTATAATTTTTAAATTTTTCGCATTTTTAATTTTTCTTTTTTTTTTTTTTTTTTTTTTTTTTTTTTACACACTTTTTATATGCCAACAATCAGAGAGACAGACAATAATAGAAGAGGAAAAAAAAAGAAGAAAAAGAATTCTGGATAAATGGTACTCCGTTAGCATTTTATGTTTGTGGAAGCAAGGGGAAAAAGAGAAAAGAAAAGAAGAATTATTCTTGAAAACACTTTTGTATTTTTATGTAAATATTATCGACAAAGATAGTTCCTTTCATGGTAAATTAGTTGTAAGATGTGTAGAGCAATACTTTAAAACTAAAAATGAAATAAATAAAAATGCATTCATCTCTCTTTGTTATACACTGTAAATAATAAATACAATCTGAGCATGATACATTCTATAGAAGGTCTTTTCAACAAGTTTTATGATAGTGATTCAAGTAATATTCAGTTTTTTTTTCTTCTAATAATTGAATGACCTTTATTACAGAAATTTCTTGGCCATTAGAAGATTCACTATTGTTTCCTCAAACCACCAAATTATATCAATAATAGTCTTCTTCATTACTACATCGATAAACATTTTTCTTCTTTTTCCACTTCTTCGTTCGTATGTTTTTCACAAAAGAAAAACAAATTCCTAACATTAGTTCTTTTCAAAGTTTTAGTTTTTATTCTAGACAAGTTATTTTGAAAGACATACTTGTAAATATCGATTCAAGTAATCAACATCCTTGTGTTTTGACAGCAACTAAACACGTTGATACTCTTAACAAATTGTACACGACTTTGACGAGTGAAACACTGACTCATCATTGTCAACATATTGAAAAATATATCGTACCAATTCCGTTCAATATCTGTCAATAATCACCTTCATGTTCAGTTGTAATGCACTAGATAGATAATTACAACAGTAGCTGTATCATTGTTTAAACATTTTTTAACAGATTCTGAAAAAGAAAATGGTACACAAACTGATCTATCTTGTTTTTAAAAATTGTTTCTGGTTGAGAAAAAAAAAATTTTACTATACTTTCCAGTTTTCTATGATGCATAATAGAAGAGTATTGTCAGGGCGATGATGTGCTATAATTTTTATTCTTAACAAGAAAGTGGTTACTGACAGATATTGAACCGAACTGGTATGATATATTTTTCAATGTGTTGATAATGATGAGTCAGTGTTTCACTCACTGAAGTCGCTTACGATTTTTTAAGAGTATCAACATGTTTAGTTGCTACCAAAACACAAGGATGTTGATTACTTGAATTGATATTTATAGGTAGGTCTTCCAAATTAATTTGCAATAGTAAAGTAACGAGCAGCGTGGTTCAGTTGGCTAGAGGGCAGACAATGTACTTGAAAGCTACAGAGTTCGAATCTCAGCAAAAGCGGTCACGTGATAGACTGGGGCAAGCTATCGAATGCTCGGTATCTCGGTACCTTTGAGCACAGATGCAATGGGGTGACCCGATTTTAGTCGCCATTAGACTGGAGAGATGAGAATTAAAGTTTAAAAAAAAAGAAAAGAAAAAAGTAACTTGGTTAGAAAATCGACTAAAATTAAAAAACTAAAATGTCATAAAACTGTTTCTCTGAAATTTTTTCTAATTCGCACTGCTATATTATCAGTGTCCATCCTCTCTTCGTTCTGAGAGAGCTCATTCATTTATAGTGCTCAAAATAGTTATATCAAAAGAATTTTTTGAACGAATGGTAGTATAATCTCCAACATACAAGTCCTATCATTCAAGTAAGATAGGTGTAAGAAACTTTTTAAAGTGAGAAACTTACTTTTCATAGAAGAATATCTATGAATTAACATAACTCGTATACCCTTTAAAAATCTTGATAAACTTTTATATCGGTCATGTCTTACAATGATTTATTTCAAAGTCGAACCGAACATTATAATGTTTATTCCCAATACATATTCTGTAGGCTACAATCAAGAGATGAGTCTTGAACAATGTGTTGAATACCTATAATTATCGTTAAGTATCCTGTCTGTGTGTTTTTCTTGTCTCTTAACTCTGTAATTATTCTCGAGCATCGTATAAGTTTCAGTTCATAACACGCGCTGTGGTAAAAGATAAAGATAATATATACATCGTGCGTCTTGATTTCACTTCAGTTAAACAATATATGATCACTTACGGATGACAGATAGGAGAACAATCCTTTCAAAAGTAATAAAAACGTAGAAATAATAACGGAAAGAATATTAGTGAAACAATAATAAATCTGAACAAAAAACAGAAAAAAAAAGAAAAAAAAAATGAGAGAGAAAATTACTGAAAATAAAAATAAAGGAAATGAAAGTAAAAGTAGCTCTCATATGTATGTGTGCATTTGGCTTGTGGCAGATAGAGTAAGTGGATAGATAAAGGTTAGCTGTTGTATGTTCAATTTTACCGTTTGCAATCCATGTATAGCGTAGAACGAAAATATAGATTTGTTTGTGGTTTAAAAGTCGAAAATGTCAAATATGAGCGTTTCCGAAAAAAAAGAGAGAAAAAGAGAGAAGTAATAAAGATGATATTAATGAATTGTGTTTTAAAGTATAATCTACACACACTTTTAGAAGAGGATGCTGTTGAAAAAAACGATGAAAACACATACTACGTTGGAAACCATTCTTTTCCTTTTTTTTCTATGTTATACAATTGAGAAAAAAATATATATTAAAGTTTTTTGTTTGCACAATGCACTTGATTTAGATGTTATTAGTCGCTCTATAGGTTATAAATAGAGAATTCTCGTTTCTGTCGTGGATGATCAGTAAATCACAATGGGATGTCATGCGATCGTCATTAAATGATAACTGATATTATTCGTTTTGTGATCTTATCCATTAATTTTAACTGAATTTCGTATACGCCTTTTCATGCTACAGAGAAACTACTCATATGCTTTTGACTAGATATCTTGCGTTATCAAATAGAGAAATACACAGCGAAATTCACACATATCGATTTATCGTACAAAAAATGGTGCAGCCACCACGTCTATACTAACACAGAATCGAAGAAATTTATTTTAGAACAAAAAAATTATGTTATAGAGGGCACTATACTAGATGTGTTGTGTTCCTTTCTCTACAACGAAGTCATCATCCTTGTATGATGCCATCGTCTGTATCTTTATGTTATTAGGAACTTAACGAGTGATGAGAAATCGCTTTTCGCACATGCCATTGTTCGCTGTCATATATGGTAAGTACCTTTGTTATTTCCTTATATCTGCGTAATTGTTCTGTTGTGACCAGATGTGGACAATGTCACCATAAGATATATCTTTTACGAGAGTTCACATAATAACTCATATACTACTTGTTTTTCGAGTTTTTCTAATTCATTTTTTAATGAAAGCAGCACTATAAACTATTTGTTGAAAGAGAAAGTCGAAATTTTAATCTTTTCTAATAATGAAGCGTTTTTTAAAGGGTTTTTACTCAAAATGTCTATAAAAATTGATTAAAGAAAATTCGGTTCTACCAGATCGATCGAATGTGTTTATATGTATTAAAAACCATCTCGATGCTTTGGTCATTTAAACAAAAAAAAACTTTTTAGAACTAGTGAAGGAGTCCATGTTTCCACTTATAACTCGGACATATCAAGAGTACTAAGCTCAAATTTTTTTCGCTGTTGTGCGTTTGAACATATACTTTTTTAAATCTGGACTTGAATACTTTATTCTCTTTATTTTTTTTTTCAAGTCCAGAATATGAAATAAATAGAAATGAAAAACCAAAGTAATTACAACACAACTGGTAAGTTTACACTGCATCGAATAATCAAGATTTTCTACTTTGAATTTATTGGTGTTGGTTTCTCGTCGATATCGTTTAAAAAAGTGTGAATATTATCGAAATAGGATGTCATAATTGGTAAATCATTATGTCGACCGTATTCATACGTGTACAGTTGTCTGTGTTTTGCATTACGCGTCTCATTGTATAAAACACTTGACATATAAGTGGGAACAACGTTATCTAATAATCCGACGAGATATATACATGGACATTTGATTTTTGGTACTTTTGATAAAGAATCAAAGAGATAAACGAAACCAACGGATTTTGAAATGGACAAAACGTTTTTTGCATATGGTAAAAAATGTCGTGCTATCTCCGGAACGGAAATAAACGGATTTTCAAATATAGCACATTTTACTCGATTTTCTACATCGCTAACCAATTGAATTGCCACACTTGCTCCTAAACTTGTTCCCAAAACGATTATTTTTTCCGGTGGAATATTTTCTTTAATGGTTAAATAATCGTATGCAGCCTGAGCGTCTATATAAAGTCCAACCTCACTAGGACATCCCGTACTCAATCCAAAACCTCGATAATCAATAATTAAACAATTGCATCCCAAATTATCGTAAAACAGTCTAATAACTTCTAAACGATGCGATAAATTACCGCCAGCACCGTGTAGATATAACAGTGTATCTTTTTGTTTAAATTCATCTTCTTTTGATGATTGCTGAATATAATAACAATGAATGTACTCATTATCGAATGTTTTAATATAAAATTCCTTGTAAAGCATATTGAAATCGTCAGGAGTACGTAGTATCTCGTGAGTATTCTCTGGTTGATTGTGAGAAAATATATGTTTGCTTTGAACATTTTCGGTCATCATACCTTATAAAAAGAAATGTCAAACAAGAATAAAGGTCATCGATTAGACTTAGATTTTTCATGAAGGAGCTTTTCATCCTACTAGCAGTTTAGAAGGAAGATAGATATCACACTTCACAGCATGTTTAACTTGAGAACAAATTGTTTTAATTAGAGAAAAAAGACAATGTCTTACCTAGAAGTCCTTTATCACGACGAGCACATGAATGAATGTAATCCAATTGTTTTTTTAGCTTTTCTTCATCGGTGATACATTCAGATGTTTGGTTAACTAATTTATTAATGCCATTTGCTGTCGCTTCAGTAGTTTCTTGATGTTGGTTATTAGTTGATAACTGCGTGATATTACGTTTTAGGCGTAACATTCGAATATCAACAATTTCTCCAGTTGGAATTGCATGAGCACGAGTACTTTTCTGTTCACGAAGACTCGTAGATCTTTTGAAGGGTACATCAGTGCCATTGTTCTTGCTTTTAAACGATGGAGGTATTAATGGTCCATTTATAGAGTTTCCCATGTTTGACAAATAACCTGAAATAAAAAGTATAAAGAAGTGCACGTTATAAAAATAGATAAAAAAGAAAATATAGTAGATAGTCTTTGCATATAACCTGAACAAAAGTCGAGCTTTTTACTGAAGATGTGAGATAATGACAAAATAGTGCTCACTCTCAATTATATCATGAAAATAGATTTCATTAATTACTAATTATCATGGTAGAACTCTTTTTTTACTTTGATAGAATATTAAAATTAAAAATGTAAAATAATAAATTAAACATAATTAGAATATGAACAATTTACACATGTTCACTAGCAATTGATTAGAAATTAAATAGAAAAATATAATCGAATTATGTCAAATGGAAGTAAATAAATGAATGAAGAAATTTCTAATATAGAAATTTCACATAGATTGTATATATTGGAGTGAGAGAATCGTTTCATCCTTCTTCAATCCGCATATAGGAATCACTGTTATAATCACTTGCTCACATCTATTGAATCTATTTGAAAAGTCATAATAAAATGGAATACCAAAAAAAGAAATAGTTTTTTTAATAAAGATTGAATAAAATATTCCATTCAAAAGTTTTGATGCGCTTATCGTCTCTCCTACAATCAAGTTTGACAGCTAGTTCTATTAATATCCAAACTGAGTAACATAGTGAAAGAGAAAGATTGTGAAAAAACTAAAAAATTTCTCTAATGAGTCAGTCAATAAACCATTATCCAAACTTTTATAGGATTGTTTTTTTACTTAAACAATTGTAAGAATGATTAGTAATAGAGACGTAATTATAAAAAAACAAAAACGTACAATATTTCATTCGAGATATCAAGTTTGAATGAATAAGAGAAATTACCTGCCAAATTTTTTTAACGTTTTTGAGTATGTAGTTTTGTGATAAAGAATGATGAAGTGGTTTTTTTATTATATTCTCTATACACCATTGTCGCTCCTATTACAACAAAACATTTCTAATTTTCTTCTTGTATAAAAAAAACTAGCCTTTTTCCTGTTATATATAGTCTATATATATACAATCTATAATATAAGCGTACATAAGAGAAAAAAAAAGAGAATTATTGCCATTTGTGCCCACATAAAGTGTATTCAATAATGATAACAGACTAAACTAATTTAATACAAAAAAACTTCCGATATCTATCTATCTATCTATCCATATTTTTTTTATTCATTCGCATTTAGTCTAATCGTGTTAGATATATTTATTGGTCGATAGAATAAAAAAATCAATGAACGTTTTTCAACTCAACCGACATTTGACATGCGAATTTGTTAAACACGAAACATTGTTCTGTCTAATATCTTAAAAATTATGATAGCTTGCCTATTTTTCTCTTTTGTCATACTCGCAAAAAATTATGTAATATATAATAATAATAATGATAATAGATAGTATAAGATATAACTTGCTCGAAATGAAGAAGAAAGAGTAAAGAAAAAAATGGTACATGAATCTGTCAAGATTACAAACCATGCTCAATCAGCTACCAATTATTTATCTTAGACTAAAAAATATCAGATAAAAATAAATTGGTAGTATGAGATCGATTCTGACGAAAAAAAAGCTGACCATTTTTTTCTTTTCGTTTTTTTTCTTCTTTTCTTTCTTTTTTTTTCTCATACTCAACAGTCTTTTTTTTATATTCTTGTTGATGTATTAGACGGGTAAATAGACGTAACTAGATGGCAACTCTTCTCTACTGATCTTTATTTATTATCCCAAAAAAAAAAAAAATCCTCGAACACAAAAAAAGAAAATTTTTGTGCATGCGATAATGTTTGTGAAATCATACTTTATTTTCAAACTCTTTTTCTTCTTTCTTTGATGACAGGATCATACCATATAGCTAAAAAAAATACGTAAAAACGAATAAATTGCATTCAAGACATGTGTATATATCTATATTACTCAAATGAATGAGCTGTATAACGTAGAACATGTATCGAATTGTTCTTTTATATCGACATATGAGAAAATTGGATGATTTTTAGACATGACACAACTATAACATTGAAATACATAGGAGAGAAACGTAACTTTCTAGTACAATCACTTGTTTAGATATGTTTCTATAATAACTCAGGTTACAAGCGGCTCGCTTGAGCAAATTTTTTCCTGTGCTTTGCCCACTTCCACAAAAGTTTTCTACTCGATACGTCCTTTCGTCGCAAAGTTGTGGGACTCGAAAGTTGAAATTACTTAATTTTCTGATGACTCATGATCTGAAAACTGAATTTTTGATTATATAAAAAGATGTAAAACGAAAAGGAAAGCAGTGCATCCTGTGGAGAATTGAATTGTGAATCTAGCCATATGGCTAGTGTTCAACTGTGTTTACTTTTTTTTGTTGTTCTTTAGATATAATCATTTTACAAGCATCTTTTCCGTTTTCTGTAGACCGACCTTTTCTTACAGTTTTTTTCCAAAAGTCCGCCACTGAAGAAATTTTTGGAGTGACTAAATTGTAGATCAGACGTCAGTCTACAACTCTATTTAAAAAGAAATCCAGTTTGCATGATTTGGTAGAGATAAAAACAGCTTTCATTCTTGCAGAAGTCAATTTCCGCTCTAAATGTAGACTGACTTTTTGCAACTTGTTTTGCTCAGAACTAATGAAGCATGCATTCGTTCTCGATGAAACTTCTACACTAGATAGAGCATCAAAAGTTGTACTAGCAAAAGTAATTTCAGATCGAATCCTCATTTTGTTCCTTACTATTTTTACATTATAGGGGAAAATGTAGACCGACTTTTGTTTTTAACTAAATGTAGACCAACCATTTTTCGTGAGATTTTTGGTCAAAGCTAAACGAAAATCATCAATACCGTACACCAGTCGACTCCTCAGACTGCGGCGAGTTTAACTACCTAATTTTTGGAGCTCTAAAATCTATAGTCTTTGTTAAAATAATGGCTAATTCTGAAAGTAGAATCACATAACGAAATTCGAACTTTTTAGATTTTAACACTGAAGAATGAAAAAAATTTTCTGCGGTTTTTCGGCTTGACACATTTGCTCACAGTCCCACTGTACTGCTCGAATCATTTTCTGTCGAACGATGTAGAATACATCTATTTCAACCCTTTTTCTAGCAAAATCCTGCCAAAAATTCTCTATGGCAAAAACTGAAAATTGTCTTCCTCCTAACTCAGCCAGTATGAGTCTGGCAGTTGGGAAATTTTTATAGGATACTCGGCAAAGACAGGGGAACACAACGTACCATTCAAATTTTTTTTATCGATTGTACCAGAAAGTTACGTTTCTCTCATACATAGAATTCATTTTGATCTGAAAAACATTGAGAATACATTCTTTCATTAACTCCCTGCATTCTTTCATCCATTCTGTTGTTGTTTTTTTGAAGATAATTTCTTATTACTCGAACGGTTTGACGAATAATAATTCAACAGAGAAAATCAAAACATTTTTTTAAAAAAGGTGTCTTGAAGGTAAACATGATTACTTGGTGTGTACATTTGTTTGTAAATCACATTATGCTAGCCTTGTTAAATTTCAATCACGTTGTCGTTGTGTAATATCAATCATTATCTTCTCTTCTTTTGCTTTTTTCTGAACTTTACCTTTCACAAAATTGTAGGCGCATAAATGCGACAGGAAGTTTGTTTAAAAAAACAATACTATGCTACTACTTCATTGTCAAATTAACACATTAATGAGAGTGTATATCATAGTATTAGTCGAGCTTTAATACATATTATTTGATAATTAGAAATAAGGAATCCTTATTCTTATACAGAATCTCAACAAAAATTAATAAATATTATTTGATGTTCATCCAAATTAAACTTATATAAAAATATCGAATATACGCCAAATAGCACAGAGATAGTAAAAACGCATTATCTATGGATTTGATTATCAGCCAACTTTTCTGCTACGATCTGAATATGTTCACTTTTGTGAAGATTTCCTGTAAAACCATTTATACAGTAATATGTTCGGTTTTATTTTCTTGTTATAGTGTCATCTCGATTCGTCTCATATAAAAAAATTAGCCTCAACTCGTTCTGTAAAATCTTGTTAATTTAATTTTCCCAATGATCTGATATTGTTGCTAAGATGTATAGTTAGAAATAAACGCTCACCTTTATATATCAAGTTGAAGGAATCATGTATGATAACACACTATTTATCTTTCAAAAATATTACAGTAGTGAATGCACTTGCAACGAGGTATTTATTTACTCATGAGTTTCTGTGAGTGCGTGGCACACAGTGGGCATCCAGGCGGACATTTGGTGGAAAATTGAAAGTGAGCTTTTTCAAGATTTAAATAGTGTCACATATACTTCGATGGACAGATTATCTAATGGTGTAAAATTTTTTGTTTCAAGTGCTCAGTTTTAGGGAAAATATGTGAGCAAAAAATAGCCTAAATACTAGCGACCTTGGAGAAAAAAACATTTTATTTCATTACGGCGAATTATATTTGTAAACAGTACCTATTCCCAATCTAGACACACTCAGCTATCTATCAAAAAAATAATTTCTACTTTGATCCTAGGATCTAGGAGGAAAAGAATTAATTCGTGAACCAATCCTCGTTCCGTATAGATGCTTAGAGTGTAATGACGTTGGAGCGCACGCCGAATTTGATTGATTTGGCATGGGTGCCAGCCAGTGCCAGTGACCGATGGCATGCTATGCGCACTGATTTTTACCAGTGCAGCGCTGGAATTTTTTTTATAGAGAAGCGATACCGCCTCATTCACATGATGCTAGATTGGCTCTAGCAACGAACTGATATTAGCGTCTAATATTTACGGATACGCTTCTCTGGAAGTCCAAGTGTGAATGTTTGCTTCACATACGGTAAACGCTACCTTATCAGTAAACTCACAGGCGTACCTTTAAAGTCATCAATCTTTCTCACTTTTATTTTGAGATCAAATTTCAGTCACATGTCAAATCAAAACTGAGAAATACTACGCGGAGCGAACTTAGTCAATCTGAGAGGAACAT